ATTTACTAAAATCTAATGAGTGATAATTAAGGATCTAGCCAAGAAATAACTTCAGCAATGGTTCACCTAATTGATCATCGATAAGCAGAGGCAATTCCAATTATTTACTAATAAATAGGTTATAACTGCCAAACAAGCGATGACAATCAACCCCTCCTTACTGTGTCGATGATTAAGGTACGCCCGTTAATCACTGCTCTAATTGAGAAATAATCCTAGGTACGCCCATAGAATTTAATTCCCCAATTGCCTTACGTATTAGAGGAGCCCCATTCTAATCAAATAACGCACTACCAGGGTTATTTTAGATTAGCCCGCGTATCCTCCTGACACAAATCTAATCATGCCAGTTGTCACTATTTTGAGACAATTAAACAATTACGGATTTAACGTCCCAATTGACAATAGGTTATCAAATTAACTAATTATCCGGATCCAAGACAATCAATTAATTAAACAACCATAAGCACTGCAACCAGAGAATATGCAAATACCAATAAATAAAAGAAAAAGATAAAATTAAATCGATCTCACAGTTTTAGGCGACCCAAAGAATCCGTTGTCCCTTGACTAGACAAAGGGAATTAGTTCATAATTGATGAACTAAACCCATGGAAAATTGCAGCAAGGAACGCGGCCATTATCACAGAAACTGGGAAAATGCAATTCGCTTCAGGAAAGGAAAACGAGGCTACAAAAGGTGATTGCTTGTTACCCATTCTTCCTGACATACGCAGGGGAAAGGAACTACTACCAACCAAAAGAAAAGTCAAAGCTCAAAGCCAAACTCCCATACGGAAAACTAAGGAAAAGGCAAGGTCCTAAGCTAAACTAAAAAATATCGAAAAACTAAGAGGAAAGCCAGCCGTCTTCAGTCCTCTGCTGCTCTTGCCTTGTGCGGCAGCTCCCCCGAGGGAAAGGAACAACCCCCTTTCGGTTTTAGCCCTTCCAAAATAAAGGGCAAAAGATCTTTTTTTCTTTGCCAACACTGCCCTTGGGCTAAGCTCTGTGACTTGGGCTCCTTATTCCAGAAATGCCCTCGATTGCCTGCTATGTGAACTCTTTCTCGATAAGAGTCAAATTGGCCTTTATTGTGACATTTTTGTTCTACTCCCTGAAATAAATGCAAATTACGAAAAGTGAGTAGAATCTAATAATTAATTCACATTGGGTTAAGTAATAGGAAAAATTAATAATAAAATTAACTATCAAATTGCAACCTATCAAATTTTAAGTCGTTTTCAATATCCAATCATGTCAAGAAAGGATGGATGAAGACTTTTGGCAAGAAAAAGCCTCTTGAAGAAGAGAAAGACACTTTTGTTGGATATATCAAGAGGTTAGAACAGAGGAGGAGAGTAATTTTCTTATACTAGAACTTGTACTTTCTCTCTCTAGAATAGAATAGGACTTTTAACAAAAACTCTTGATGAACTCTTGATGTAATCTTGGCACTTTGAAGGCAAAAGAGAATTTGGAGATTGGAGATCCTTGTTCCTTCAATTGAATAAGCATTTTCTTCTCCCTTTCTCTTTATTTTGCTGGATATATGTTGGGATTCATCAAAGATTTAAGCTTCATGTGTTTATTCTTTATGTCTAGCTAATATATTTGTTCTAGGAGTGGATGATGCCTTGTGTTTATTGATCTTGGTTGGAATGAGTTGATGAATATTGCCTTTTGTACTTGCTAGTTCATTTAAGCTTGCTTGGACATTTATGAATGCTTGATCACCATTTACAAATTATTTTAGTTGTTGTTTATCAATGAAAGTTGGTAGATGATGATGGAACAAGCTTAGATGGAGTTTAGGATCTTAACACACGAAAGTAGTGTCGAGACTAGGTGGGTTTTAATACAATTTTGAGTTTAATGGCACTATACTAGTTGTTTCACCACGAAAGTAGAGAAATGCATGTATAGGTGACACTCGATTCATCGTGAAAGCGAGTTTTGGCTACCTTATATGAATGAACCCTTAGCAAAACAAGTAGTGTAATATTTATCACTCATTTGAACTATAGACAAGAATACTTGGTTGATTCCATATCCTAGAGCTTGTATTTTAGTTGAGTTCATCCATCAACTTATAGTTGTTACACATTAGTGTATAGAGTAACTTTTATTCCTCATTGTTGTTGCTTGTCTAGATAATAAAGTAGGATTAAGTTCTAATAGTTGTGAGTGTTTCTCGAGGGATCGATCTTAAGTTCCTTGTACTACAAAGCAACCTGTATATTTGCAGCTAACGAGGGAGTTATTGAATAAAACTAGGGTGCAGGGAACCTCGTCACTTAACTCGTGCAGGTTTTTCAAACGTACTGAGGAATTGGGAATGAGGCAAGAACAGTTGCTCAAAGCACTATACAAATCAATCCATGGTCCAAATTTCTCACAGATGTCTAAATGAAGCTGCATGTTAAATCGAGTAATTTGATTTCTGTTTTCCGTCTTTCACTTTGGAGACTGTATATTTTAGTTGATTTTTCTTCTTTGTGGAACTAGAAGTGCTTCCTTATCGGATCGAAAAAATGGCTCAACTGAAGGATTTAATCACGGTTGATAGAAATCTAAAATTAGGACAAAATCCTACACGTCGTTACAAACTTACAGCTATACTCCAACTTTGAGGATGTAATATTTGAAATTTTTTGTTAGACATGTGGTATGCATTTAAATTTGTTATTTAGTAAAAAAAATTTTTAAGTTAAGAGTGGGCAATTGTCCCTCGTAAACTCTTGAAAAAAAATTACAGAATTGCGTAGAAAACTTTTAATTTTCTTAACGTTTCGTGACATTGCCCCGCTAAGCCACAAAATCTTTTTCGAGCTTGTACTAGCTGCTAATACTTTGTCTACAAATCATTCATGGCTTCCGTACATGAATATATTATCAAACAAATTGATAAGTGATAACATGGCTCGAAACAAAAAAGTCATACTACTAGAAAACTTCTGTTTTAAACGTTTCCCCGTAATATAGTATCTAGTTCAGAAGAATTGAAGAACTATTAGGAGTCCTCGCCATCAATCTTTGCAGCCAGGTCTTGACTTACTTATTCTTGGTCCAGATTTTGGAACCTCTTTTGTTGAATGAAAGATTATTCAATTCCACAACAAAAGAAAGACAGCCTATATAAAATCTCTTCACACCATATATTTGATCTTCCTTCTCGATTCCCACTTTATACCCTACAATCTCCTACTAGTTTGACAAGTCTTGAACACTCCTACTTTAACGATGAAAGGAATTTTGGACATTAAACAATTGATCAGCAGTAGTTTGGTGTTCTAATTGGGATTCCATTACATAATCTTATTAAATTTTGAAGTTGGAAAACCATGTAGATTTTCTTGAATCGGAATTCTCTAATGTTTAGACTACTGGGAGGAGAGTTTACTAAAATATGATTAGGAAGAGAGTTTGAAAGGCCACGTCATCAGTTTTTATTAAAAAAAAAAAAAAGCAATGTTGTATAAACTTAGATAGACAACTTAGGTCTGGTTTGTTAATCCAATTCAGCACTTAAATTTAATGGATTTAGATTTTAATATTTTTTAGACGTGTTTGATAACTAAAACTAGAACATCTAAATTCATTAAATGACACTGAATTTTTTAGATAAAATTTGTTCTAAAAAAGAAGTGATAAACTATTCACTTATTACTTAATATGGTATACACTCAAATGTATCAAATTTAGTACTTAACAATTCACTAATTTAATAGATTCAGACTTCTAATTTCAAATTTCAAACTTCACTCTTATCAAACACATCCTTAGACGGAAAAGGTCATGTCATCAGTTTTTACCGAAAAGCCATGTCGTATTAATTTAGGCAGGGGAGAGTTTGAATGCCCACATAATCAGTTGTTATATAGAAAAGGAAAATGGTTAAATCACAGTTCTTGACCATTGATTGCATTTAGTTAGATTGAGACATGAAGGGCTGCTGGTTTGTCCCGTTAAAATGTGGAACAAATAGTCTTACATATATGCCCTTCCTCAACTTCTAAATTCTCAACACCCCTCTTTTCCAAACATCTCAATCAGACACCATCTCTGTCACTTCTTATGCTGGATAAGTGGATAGCCGGCCAAATTTCATGGACTTTTTTTTTTTCCTTTTTAAGGTACAAATTCCATGACTTTATGGATTGTTTAGAAATCAAATTAACATTTAATAAATCTCATGATTCAAAAGAACTCCTCAATTGATCAAATACTTCCATCTCAAAATCACTTTTTTCTCAAAGCACAAATGCACAATAATACCATTCATCACATCCTGCACATGAAACCAACAAAGACAGAGATTTGACATGAAAGACATGGTTAACATCAAGTTCAGAAGGAGAAGAAGAAAATAGAGACAACCATTTTGGTGTTTTTATTTGGGGGGGGGGGAGGGATGGGATAATAGAACTTGGAAGATTTGAACTTGGAGGAGAACGGAAAAAAATTGGGATGAGAAAACTAAAAAGTGTCGAGAAGAATGGAGATGAGGGTATCACTTGTGGCTGCATGCAGGAAGGAGAGAACTTGGAAATTGGAGGCCAAGAGAGGGATGGGGATGGGACTGGTCTATATTTTGATTGATAAAACTATTGGGTCCTATTCAAAATATTAATGATTGATAAAACTATTGGGTGCTATTCAAAATATTAAAATTTGATAAAACAAGCATATGTAAGTGTGAAGTTACAACTTCTGTAATGTTAGAGCAGTCCAAGTAGAAAAACAATGTCGTATTAACTTAAGACAGACAGCTTAAGCAAGAAAAGGCCACATCATCATTGTCATATTAATTTAGACACACGGCTTAAACAGGAGAGAGTTTGAAAGGCCGCGTCATCAGTTTTTATAGAAAAGCGATGTCGTATCGTATCAACTTAGACAGGGAAAGGTCGCCTCATCAGTAGAGCTGTTAAGCGTAACGAGCTACTCGAAAGCTCGTTAAGGCTCGGATCGATAAGGCTCGAGATCGGCTCGTTAATTTCAATTAACGAGCCGAGCTCGAGCTCGATAAATACTCGTTGAGTTATCGAGCCGAGTAAGCTCGAACTCGATTCTTTATCGAGTAGCTCGGTTGAGCTCGACAAAGAAGGGTATTTGTGTCATTTTAGCAGTCAACAAGTAGAAATTTGGACTAGGGTTGATATTGCATCGTCTCATACTCTCATTCTTCATTTCTGCCTCTCCCTCTCCGCTGCACGCCGCACCCAGTAACCCACAGCCGCACCCAGTAACCCACAGCCGCACCCACAGGCCACAGCCCCGCAACGCCGCAGCTCCGCAACCCTGCAACCCTGCAGCCCGGATCTGGATCAACCCTGCAACCCCGCAGCTCCGCAACCCTGCCAGCCCCGCAACACCGCAACCCGCAACCAGTAACCCACAGCCGCACCCACAGCCCCGCAACGCCTCAGCTCTGCAACCCCGCAGCCCCGCAACCCCCGCAACCCCGCAGCCCGCAACCCCGCAACACCGTAACCCCGCACTCCACAGCAAGCCGCACTCCACAGCTGCAACCCACAGCAACCTCTGCCTCCACTGCCGCCCACAGCCTCTGTTTTCTGCCATTAACAACCCCGTCCACGGCCAGGGCCAAAACCAGTCCAATTTGACTGGTTTCTCTAATCCTTCGTGATATTTGGTAAGTCTCGTCTCTTTTCGTAGGTTAATTGTACTGAATGACAAGAGTTCATTCTTGTCTCTTTTCTGGTTTAGTAGCAGTTGGTAATGTAGTAGTTGACACATCTCATATGTACAAGGATGGATCAACAAATTTTCTTCTCGCGTGAGGACTGCATCCAACCTCTTTGTTTTATTCCTTTCTGCAATAACTTGCAGTTCAATCATAGAAATTTAATGTGGAAAATCTAGATTATGCTTATTAATATCTGATAATTTTAAAGAGTACTCGAAAAGATAACGTCTGAGTTTTTGCAGTAGTTTTACCTTTTCTTCATGGATTTCTTGGGGGGATGGGGTGGGGAAGCAAGAAGTGTTCTGCTTGTGGGTATAATCTGCTGCTAAATGTGCCTATAAATCTTTTCTAAAACTTAATTATTAGTACAATTAGATATTGCACTTCAATATCTGGAGGATTGAAAGGGAAGAAAATAAGTATGGTTGATTAAGACTTCTTATTTGTGAAATTTGAGAAAAAAGATGTAAGGATGTTAACCTTGATATCAAAAAAGCCTTACGGACTTAATTTGGACAGCATACTTCTTTTTTTTTGGGTAAATTTTTGATCTTTTGAATGAAACATGTCAATGTTCGTGAGCTAACTGTTGCACTATCACAGGGATTGATTGGCCTTTCATTTCATTTCATTTCAATTTCAAAGTGTTTGATTAGTTTGATATTTTCGTCTTGGGGCCATTTATGTGTGTGTGAATTGAGTTAAATGAATTGTTGAATGAATAATATAGGCACTACACCATATGTGCCTTCATCTATTTTGTTCAGCCTCTCGAACTCATCAACACTTTTACAACCCTGAAGCATGTTCACGGCCCTTGGTGGAGGAACTGCATGTTCTGGTGTCCCGTGGGAGTTGTGTTCATCATCAGAACCAGTATCCGCATTGCTACCACTGGTTCCACCATAACTGCGATCTTCATCAACCTCCATGTACTCATTCCTGTCCAATTCATCAGGATCACTATCTCCACTAAAGGATCTAACGCGTTCATCAGAAGACCTGACCCTATTTCCCACTGAACCTTCTCTCCTCAGTTCCATGTACTCATTCCTTGTGAAGCTGTACTTATTCTTGTGATTTCTGAAGGGGTTGTACTTTTTCTTGTCAGGTGTTTGAAGTTGGACAATTTTTAAGCTATGTAGCAGTGTTTTACATGGTTATTTGGCTGTAGTTTGTGCGTTTATTTGGCTGGACAAAACCTGTTATGGTATATTGGCTCTTATGAATGTTGTTTCATATGGAATTAGACTGTAGTTTGTGTATTTGTTGACTGCAGCCCTGGAGTTTGTGTTGTATGGATCATGGATGTTATGGTCTTATTTGTCTTGGATGAAATGTGGTTAGAGTTTGTGTATTGTTGAATGTGAATGGCATTGGTTGCCAATCCTAATATTTTTTGTTGATTTTGGATAGCCTAAATCTGGATATGTTGGAGCAGGACTTCGTAAATAACTGATTGTTGAATTTTGAAATCGAGCCTCAAAATCGAGTCTCGAGCTTCGAACTCGAGTCTAAAATCAAGCCTCGAGCCTCGAACTCGAGCCTTGAGCTCGGATAGATATTTCGAGCTCGAGCTCGAGCTCGTCCGAGCCTGGCTCGTTTATGATAAACGAGTCGAGCTCGAGCTCGAGTTCGAGTCACATTTCCTTTTTTCGAGTCGAGTTCGAGTGCGTATTATGGCTCGTTAGCGCTATCGAGCGAGCTCGAGTTTGGCTCGAATTCGTCACGAGTCGAGCTCGGCGTTCAGATACTCGGCTCGACTCGGCTCGATTAACAGCACTATCAGTTTTTAACTTTTTATAGAAAAGCGATGTCGTATTAACTTAGACAAGTGACCTGCACAGCGGATCTGGTGTCCCATAGTCACGGTCACTTATCATTCATCCTCTCTGGGAATAAAGCCTTGAGAAAATTTGGAAAACGGCAAAAGGAAAATTCAGAATATATACCAATGGTGTTTTTTTTTTTTTTTTTTACTGACGGAGTAAGTGTCCGAGTCAATTTTTACAAGGTCCGACTAATCTCACTCCGGTCTGGGAGGAGAGACTCCATCCTCTCGAACACGATAATCACAAGACTCGAATCCTTGCGGACACTGGACACCAGCTTCCAAGGAGGCTCGTTGAGACCAACCGAGTTACTCATGAGGGGCAGATAATTTGATGGGAGGCAAGGATTGAATTCCTGACCTCCCACCCCACCAGGAGGGTGGTGGCCAGTGGTTATATACCAAGGGTGTTAGTTTCGAGAAATTCGTGAATAGGATATCGGTTACTATTCATTCACGTATTAAAATAACTACAAAAAATTCATAAACTTCCTTCTATCTTGACTTCCCAATCAATGCAATAGTGATAGCTCCATTGAGTTTCTTTAAAAGGGAAAGGTATGACGGGAAGGCAAGTTAAAGAGTGTGGCAATATAACCCTCATTGTAAAGTGAGGTTAAAGAGACCGCCCAAGGCTACAAATTTTCAAGTGTTCAAAAACATCTAACCATATAATAATGGTTAAATTGCAGTGATCGAAAATTCCGTCATCTAGAATTATTGCATGAATAGCCAATGCTACTACTATATATTCAGTCAATTTTCTTTTCAAAAGATATTTTAATTTCGTGCATGTATGAATTGAGCAGTGGTTGGTGAACTGGCTAGTTTCAACTTTCGACCTTTAAATGGACTGCACGGGGCAGATACTGTATACATGGCCAGCTCCTGTTCCTATCTTCATCTGATCTTCTTCTGCCTAATACTAGTTCCTTCATTGCTATCAGTAATGCCTTCTTATCATTGTGTTGATCCACCTCCGCTACAAGATTATTGCATCGCGAATTTAAGCTCAAACATGAATTTGAATGGCTATCCTTGCAAGAATCCTTCTGATGTAACTTCAGACGACTTCTGCTACAAAGGTTTCTTGAATGACAACAAAGTGTTCAATATCTATGGGCTGAGCATCAGCCAAGCAACAGTTAATAATTTCCCGGGGCTAAACAGTCTTGGAATATCCATGATTCAAGCGGAGCTGCTCAAAGGAGGAGGCATACACCCCCACGGGCATCTGAGCCAGTTGTATGCACGAAGGGGAGAATCCTTGAAGGCTTTGTGACAACAGATAGCGCTTTCTTGTACAAAATTTTGAAGCCCAAAATGGTGTTTGTGATCCCTCAGGCGATGTTGCACATGGTAATTAATGTTGGAAAAGGGAATGCCCTCCTTTATGCAAAGCTTCAACAGTCAAAATCCAGGTCTCTCTTCAATTCCACTCCTTCAGTTCCTGATGCTGCCTTGAGCAAATCATTTCGAGCAAACGATTCCATCGTTGAATTCATCAAGTCCAACATCAATGTTCCACTTATTCCGTCATGATCATGTTTTGGATCAAGTGCAAATACATACCATCGTATATACTTATAATGCTTGCTCCTGTAAGATATATTCGTGCGCGCACACATATATTCTGTATGTACGTATGTACGCATGAATGTATATGTATTCTTATGTACTGCAACAGCTAGAATATAAATAAAGGTCAATTTCTTATGTATCTAAGCATGTGATTAGAATTTCTTTTGCTATGTGGCAGCAATTCAAGTGTAAGACGTCTGAATTGCAGAAATGATACCTTTCATAAGTGCTCTGATCAACCAAAAAAAGAAAAGAAAAAGAAAAACTTTCATGACACTAAACCGTCATTATTGGAGCATAAATCCCCTGTCCAAAAAGTTTGATCTTGTCCTCTGGCAACACTTGCAACAACAATCTCTAGAATTATATGTCAGGTTCAAGAACTTAACAGAATTTATTTACGTCAAAAAAGTTTTTATAGTATTATGTAGAGAGGCCTCCTACTAAATATCAGTTGCACTGAAATTAAGGTTCTAGATAAACTGTTTACTGAAACAGAAATTAAAAAGCATCCTAGTATAAAGATAATCGAATTTTTTTCATTTTTCGTCCAACTCCGAATATATAGTAACATGATTATAGATAAATGGTCTCACATACATTATAAAAATATATAATTTGTAGTAAAAATTCACATGCAGTGAGAGAACAAGAAAATATCAATATGAAAACAAAACTTCATAAAAATTGTTGATATATCTGCTTCAAGGAACCGAAAACAGAAATCACTGTAAAATCACACCAAACTAAACGCGCAAAGGAGTCTGAAAACTATACAATTGAAACAGTCTGAAACAAAAATAGGTAGTCAATCCCAGGGGCTAGCTAGTCGAAAACTAGTTCTATATATGTTATTGCATCAGACAAATAAATGAACTTGAATTTGAATTACTTTTGTATGCTCCCATGTAAGGCATGCTTCACATATGTTCTACTGGAATGAAACATCGCCATTCTTCAGAAATCTTGAATAATTGCAGTCAAATTGTTCTAATCACCACAATGTAGTACGAGATTCTTCACACCCCATTTCTCTTCATCTGCAAAAACCTAAACCCATAACAGCAAGTTCAAAACCGAATCAATAATTTTTTTTTTTTAAAGAGAAATAAAAGACCAACCTTACCTAGGTATTTATCTAGCTCAGCCATGTGCCTCATTCTTCATCCGCAATTGTTGTGGGCTAAATTGTATACTATCAATGGGTGAAACCAAACTCTCCACATATGTAATAGCATCCGAAAGCATTCCATTGTTAACATTGTGTGTTTTGACAATTCTTGGAGTGTTCCCGTTGAAATAGTACCTTTGCAAGGTCTTTTGATCAACATCCACAATTAAATCGCCATTCCTTAAAGTTCCTAAAGGCCTCAAAATATTGGAATTGGCTTCAAATCCTTCTAACTGAATCAAATTAGTCCAATAATATTGTCCCAAGTTACACTCTTTCATCGTCCATATCTCAAAATTCTTATAGGGCTTACAAATTGCACAAAGGCTTCCGTCCAAAACCCCCAAGGTAAAACTTGCATTCCCTCTGATGATATCGGGTGCTGGTATTCCCCTAACTTCCGCGTTTGACAAATTGTATGAAACCACAATGTGCCTATTCTGCAAGCATGGCCAATAAACATTACCGTTGAAATAGGTACCCCTCCTCTCGAAAGCTCGAGTTGGACGTATTACTTCGTCCTTGTGCTTCCTCCAGTCGTACAAACCTTCATATGGGCTCAATTCGTAGATTTTGTGGTACTTGCGATGGCTGGATACAAGCAATTTGTAGCCATCAGACATGCAGTCACCGCCGAACCAATAGAAGCCAAGGTCAGCATGGCTAAAAGGCAAAGGTGAAGTCACTAACTCTTGGGAAGATGGATTCCATATGATAATGGATTTGTCCTTAACTCCACTCAACAAACATATTAATCCATCACATGATCCTATAATTTCCAGATAAAACGGGGACATCTCCCTCGGATAACGAAGAGGTTTGTCAATGATTTTATTGCAATATTTTCGCTCAACATGGAAGCCAAAGTATCTGTAATCAATAGTGGTCAATGGAAAAATTAAGAAAACTCGATGATGGTTTTGCTCAGGATCTGCTATTGAAAGGTCTAGGTGACGGCGGATGAAACGGGAACTCGAGATTAGGTCGTGCCAGCCATTACAGACGCACTTGAATCTAGAAAGAGCCTTGACATCAAGCCTAAGGAGAATTTTTTCACAAAGAACTAGTGGGAGTTTGGTCCGCGCTTTTTCTTCTGTCTTTCGTATTTTTCTGTCGGCGTCTTCCATGAAGATGCGCTCTTTTTTTTTTCACAAACCCTATACCTGAACGGTTTTTCTCCTTGTTTTGCTTTGTTTTTTTGTTGGGAGGGGGGGGGGGGGTAGGTAAAGGACTCCTCGTTTTAATGATTTGTTTATATTGATTCTATGGACTCCCAAAAATATTTATTAGATTCTTACACTTCTCAATTTTAGAGATGTTTCCTTAAACTTCACACTTTCTATTCATCACCATAACTTATAACTTGAAGGATATACGTGGAGTATTTGTCCCTTTTAAGGTACTGAAATCAGGGTCCTATAGATATATTGAACAACTAAAAGGGAGGTACGTGTAACCTTGTAAATTTACCTGGAGGGAACTGTTTGTAGTTGTGATAAAGCCCAATAGAGGTTTGTGTACTTATCCCTTGTTTTCATTGGTTGTCGAAGTAGTTTGAGCTCCACAGAATTCAACTTAGATAGGTTTTCTTCAAGTAGCTGCTGATTCAAGTAGTGAAGGATCCTATCTAGGACTGTCAATGGAGTTGGGTCAGCCTGAACTCGGCTAGTTCGGTCCGACAAAAAGCCCAATGAACCCGACCATTTAGTGAGCTAGTCTGAGTTTGAGTCTAAAAATTAGACCCGAATTAAATATAAGCCAAGATTGGGTCTTATTAAACTCAAATCCGATATAGGATTATATATCCAAATATATTATTACTAAATATTAAATATATATATAAATTACAAAGCACAAAAATACATTTAAAAACTCTTCCATGAGCTTCTTGAGAACCAATATTAGTAATATATAACTAAATCTTTAACTTTTCTTATTGGTTGAGTAAATTTTTGTATTGGCATAATATTGTTTGATTTCTTTTTGGTCTACAAACACAAATCATCAAGCATATTTGGATTTAAATCACAAGATTATAAAAAAAGTTTCAACTTTTAAAGGTGTCTTGGTTTATGATCGCATGTTTTGTTACTATTTTTCATGCATTTTGAACAAATTAAATATAAATATTGTTGAAAAATTTTTGGTTTACATAGTTTTTAAGAACTATTATTTGTTCATGTTTAGTGTTAATATTATAGTCTTATAAATGTTAAATTAGTTTTACAACTTAAAAGTTTTAGTAATTATATTAAGAAAATTAAGGAGTAATAAGTGAGTTTGGATTAAGCCCGATTAAGGCTCATAACCCGAATATTGTGTGAGTTGAATATGAGTTTCACATTTATGAATTCGAAACTCATAGCTCGAAACCCGAAAATGTTTCAAATTAAATGAGCTGAACTTGAACATATCGAAACCCGACCCATTAGGCCTGATTCACAGGCCTAATCCTATCCAAAGAAAAAGTAGTTCAATACTTGAGTAGTTCAGTTGATATATATGTCAAGTTTAACTCAATTCTCCATTAAACTTGATAATTTATAGCAAACCAAATTTCTTTGAATCGCTTTTAGATTATTTTGATATGCATGCCCATTACATAATCAGAAAATATTACTCACAAATTTCTGTACTTTGGAATATAAATCAAAAAAATTTTTTTTTTTGAGTTTGTTCTCGCCCCATTGGGTATGGAGGTTGTACTAATCCAAGTTCGGATTCACAATACTGCTAAATGTTTGTGAAGAACTTCCTTCCCACTTTCTCAAGAGGAAATTTTATTATTTGCCGGCCTTGTGCGTAATGCTGCCATATTATTCTGACAAAATAGTACACTATAATAGCTGTTTTTTTATTGCATCTGTAGGAGACTGGGGGCCGAGTTTTTGTTCCTTAATTGGTGACGGAAAATTAATTACAAGATAAAAAATGGAGTTCCAAATTAAAAACTTTTGAATGTAAATGTCATTAGAAAATATAAATATTGTTAATTCAAATAAAAAATAGAACACGGGAACTAAACTAATTAAGATCTATATGAAACTGAGAGTAAACAAGAGCTCCATTGGTAACTTTCAATTTTCCATTGGCCAAGTTACTAAAGCTTGAGGAACAAAGTTGGCACGTTATGATACTAAAGATGAACGATTAAACAAGAGCTCCATTGTTTTTTACAGTGCTGCTATGGCTTCCTTAACTTTTTCAGTTAGGTTTCCTCAATTAGTGGTCAAAACCCCTAAATTGCTCAAATTTTTTTTTTTTTTTTTTTATAAAGATAAGGAACTAAATGGGTTGATGATGAAAAATGACACATTGGTCAAGACGAGAAAGAGGAAACAAAATGGTCATTTTCCTTTGATAAGCTACCTCCAGGTATATAGGCCAAAGATATTTGGTCTTACATTTAGGCCTCCAAAGATCATAAATGCAAAATAGTACTCCATATCCATCTATTCTCCCTCATGCCAAGCTACCTTCAAGTGGAATCCAAGAAAAACAAATAGAATTGACCAGGGAAAAAAGAGGAATATACATACATATATATATATATATATATATATATATATATCAACATAATTAAAAATTTCACTTCTATTCCGTTCATGGATTGCGTCCTCTTTCTCTGTCTTCGTCCAATCATACAAGCTTAGATTAATCTTTTTTTTTTTTGAAGTTCCACTCGGTCCCCTTGGAACTTCAAAGAAAAAATTAAGAAGATCGATGCCAAGGAGTTAGCAGGAAGTTTCTGGTAAAACTAGATTTAGCAATCAAGTTCATATGTATTTCTTGAAAATGAAACGGTGACTAATGTCTTTCCGGAAGTAAAACAATTTATTCATTACTAGCTTGCTTTTCAATACAAGATACATGGCTGCTTTCTCCCTCTCAAGATCAGGTAGAGATTAGAGGCTGGAAGACTGGAGAGATCGATGCAGGTGACCACAGAACTACAGGGAAAACAAATGGAAATTGAACAAAATGAAGACTTAGAAGTTTTTGGCCTTCAGTTGGGATTAGTGGGAAAACATATCCCATAAAAATTAGATCCACCGGAAAGCATACAATACATGCTTCCGTCACAGTTCTTACAATCATCCCACTCATAGTAGGATGCTTGTGCTATGCATTGAGATCCAAGCTGACACAGTGAGCAATCCAGTGGGTCTCCAAAGCTCATACATTGCCCATTAACGCCCAGCATCGTCATTTTTTGGGAGATCTTAGGAGCTGCAAAACAAATTATACAATGAACTGGAGTTAATTAGCAGTCATGATATATAAAGAAACTCTGGATTATAAAGCAAAGTTTGTTTGCTTTAACTTGCAAAATGTGTCTTAAAACAAGACAGGAAGCAATCTCAAAAATTGAAGAAGCAGAGCGCTAGAGACTAACAAGCAACAGAGAGCAACAAGATTGCTATGACAAAGAGAGAAAATGAAGGTTTTCTCGTCATCTTTTTCTAGTTTTTCTTTTTTCTTCTCTTCACTCTTCTTTTGTGAATCTGCACTTTTCTATGGTGGATCTACATAGGGATGACTGGCTATATATAAAGTTTTTTTTTTTTTTTGAGTTGGCAAAGTTGACTTTCAAATGCAGGAGTAAAATTACCGTCAGGCGTGGCAAAATTGCTAGTGGAATTTTATCATTACAGCTAGAGCTGTTAAGCGTAACGAGCTACTCGAAAGCTCGTTAAGGCTCGGATCGATAAGGCTCGAGATCGGCTCGTTAATTTCAATTAACGAGCCGAGCTCGAGCTCGATAAATACTCGTTGAGTTATCGAGCCGAGTAAGCTCGAACTCGATTCTTTATCGAGTAGCTCGGTTGAGCTCGACAAAGAAGGGTATTTGTGTCATTTTAGCAGTCAACAAGTAGAAATTTGGACTAGGGTTGATATTGCATCGTCTCATACTCTCATTCTTCATTTCTGCCTCTCCCTCTCCGCTGCACGCCGCACCCAGTAACCCACAGCCGCACCCAGTAACCCACAGCCGCACCCACAGGCCACAGCCCCGCAACGCCGCAGCTCCGCAACCCTGCAACCCTGCAGCCCGGATCTGGATCAACCCTGCAACCCCGCAGCTCCGCAACCCTGCCAGCCCCGCAACACCGCAACCCGCAACCAGTAACCCACACAGCCGCACCCAGCAACCCCGCAGCCCCGCAACCCCCGCAACCCCGCAGCCCCGCAACCCCGCAGCCCCGCAGCCCTCGCAACCCCGCAACCCCGCAGCCCGCAACCCCGCAACACCGTAACCCCGCACTCCACAGCAAGCCGCACTCCACAGCTGCAACCCACAGCAACCTCTGCCTCCACTGCCGCCCACAGCCTCTGTTTTCTGCCATTAACAACCCCGTCCACGGCCAGGGCCAAAACCAGTCCAATTTGACTGGTTTCTCTAATCCTTCGTGATATTTGGTAAGTCTCGTCTCTTTTCGTAGGTTAATTGTACTGAATGACAAGAGTTCATTCTTGTCTCTTTTCTGGTTTAGTAGCAGTTGGTAATGTAGTAGTTGACACATCTCATATGTACAAGGATGGATCAACAAATTTTCTTCTCGCGTGAGGACTGCATCCAACCTCTTTGTTTTATTCCTTTCTGCAATAACTTGCAGTTCAATCATAGAAATTTAATGTGGAAAATCTAGATTATGCTTATTAATATCTGATAATTTTAAAGAGTACTCGAAAAGATAACGTCTGAGTTTTTGCAGTAGTTTTACCTTTTCTTCATGGATTTCTTGGGGGGATGGGGTGGGGAAGCAAGAAGTGTTCTGCTTGTGGGTATAATCTGCTGCTAAATGTGCCTATAAATCTTTTCTAAAACTTAATTATTAGTACAATTAGATATTGCACTTCAATATCTGGAGGATTGAAAGGGAAGAAAATAAGTATGGTTGATTAAGACTTCTTATTTGTGAAATTTGAGAAAAAAGATGTAAGGATGTTAACCTTGATATCAAAAAAGCCTTACGGACTTAATTTGGACAGCATACTTCTTTTTTTTTGGGTAAATTTTTGATCTTTTGAATGAAACATGTCAATGTTCGTGAGCTAACTGTTGCACTATCACAGGGATTGATTGGCCTTTCATTTCATTTCATTTCAATTTCAAAGTGTTTGATTAGTTTGATATTTTCGTCTTGGGGCCATTTATGTGTGTGTGAATTGAGTTAAATGAATTGTTGAATGAATAATATAGGCACTACACCATATGTGCCTTCATCTATTTTGTTCAGCCTCTCGAACTCATCAACACTTTTACAACCCTGAAGCATGTTCACGGCCCTTGGTGGAGGAACTGCATGTTCTGGTGTCCCGTGGGAGTTGTGTTCATCATCAGAACCAGTATCCGCATTGCTACCACTGGTTCCACCATAACTGCGATCTTCATCAACCTCCATGTACTCATTCCTGTCCAATTCATCAGGATCACTATCTCCACTAAAGGATCTAACGCGTTCATCAGAAGACCTGACCCTATTTCCCACTGAACCTTCTCTCCTCAGTTCCATGTACTCATTCCTTGTGAAGCTGTACTTATTCTTGTGATTTCTGAAGGGGTTGTACTTTTTCTTGTCAGGTGTTTGAAGTTGGACAATTTTTAAGCTATGTAGCAGTGTTTTACATGGTTATTTGGCTGTAGTTTGTGCGTTTATTTGGCTGGACAAAACCTGTTATGGTATATTGGCTCTTATGAATGTTGTTTCATATGGAATTAGACTGTAGTTTGTGTATTTGTTGACTGCAGCCCTGGAGTTTGTGTTGTATGGATCATGGATGTTATGGTCTTATTTGTCTTGGATGAAATGTGGTTAGAGTTTGTGTATTGTTGAATGTGAATGGCATTGGTTGCCAATCCTAATATTTTTTGTTGATTTTGGATAGCCTAAATCTGGATATGTTGGAGCAGGACTTCGTAAATAACTGATTGTTGAATTTTGAAATCGAGCCTCAAAATCGAGTCTCGAGCTTCGAACTCGAGTCTAAAATCAAGCCTCGAGCCTCGAACTCGAGCCTTGAGCTCGGATAGATATTTCGAGCTCGAGCTCGAGCTCGTCCGAGCCTGGCTCGTTTATGATAAACGAGTCGAGCTCGAGCTCGAGTTCGAGTCACATTTCCTTTTTTCGAGTCGAGTTCGAGTGCGTATTATGGCTCGTTAGCGCTATCGAGCGAGCTCGAGCTTGGCTCGAATTCGTCACGAGTCGAGCTCGGCGTTCAGATACTCGGCTCGACTCGGCTCGATTAACAGCACTAATTACAACTCCAAGATTTCGACTTGCTAGTGAAATTTTTTGCTTTTACAGAGTGCCTAAATCTATACCCCACCGTTCTGAATTCATCCTTTATAAAGAGTTTCAATGCTGATGCGAAATTCATCAATGCATTAGGATAAAATGGCGTGAATTTAACCACTAATTAACACATATGTACTAAGTGTGTAGGGATGTTGCCGAGACCGTTCTTTTTTTTCTGATGTGGCAAAATGTTATTGGACAATTTGTGGTCGTCCTTGCATGTGTTTGTGCAAAAAAAAAAAAAATTCCAAAATGCTGAGACCGTTGTCTTTGTAAATGAATGGTACATTTATTGTCTTCATTTTGGTTGTATACGATTGGACCACTTTACCATTTCTGTTCCGCCTTTTCCCATATGTATTGGGAAGTGATTGTCATCATTGCAATAACTCAGTTTAGTTGACTATCAGGACAAATGTATTCCAGTTTTGCCCTCCCATTATATTTTTCTTACCAGCCACAACGAATTGGTTTGCACTTGTCAGGAGGTCAATTTTTATTTACACTTGGGTTGCATTTGTCAAAAACCATCATTCCTTCACTGTCGACGGCTATTGAAAGGAGGACTGTGGCAATTTCTTTTGTTCTGCCCAACCCACCGCAATTTCTTTGTTCTGCCCAAGCCACCGCTGCCGGTAAAGCTATGGATTGTTGCTGGGATTTTCTGCTTATGCTAATGGTTAGTGATATGTTAAGTTTTTGCAGTCCTTTTTTGTATCATTCCTTTTTTGTTTTCTTCGGTTCTTACTTTCTCTTTTATTGCTATGTTCCTCCGAAGCTTCTTCTTCATTTTGCTCTCCTTCATAAAGATTGGTCAGGTGAGCTTTTCCTTTTACTGAACTATTCCTTCTATAATGCTGTTTATTCCGATATGTTTTTTGCTTGGTCATTCGTAGACTAACTCAGTCGTATTTACTTTGTTTATGGGTGTTTTGTATTTTGTCGTTGTGTTAAGGTAAGCTTATTTTTAATTTTCTGTGTTCTTTGATTATTATTATTGGACAATTGGTGGTCGTCCTTGTCTGTGAGAATTGAACAATATTCGTCGGGTGCGCTTTTTCTTTTAGTGAGCTATTTCGTCTATACTCCTGTTTATTCCAATATGTTTTTTGATCCGTCATTCATCGACTAATTCAGGTTTACTTTCTCTGTTTATGGGTGTTTTCTATTTTGCCGTTGCATTAAGGTAAGGCTATTTCAAATTTTCTATCTTCTTTCATTCTTTGTTCTACCTTTCATTTGTCCATTGTTTGTTCTTATTTGTGTTCTGCCTTTTTCTCCTCTTTTCCCTTTACATTTTGCATGCAGCTTTCTTCATATGTGATTGCTGTAACGAGCTTTCTTTCTTCGTCATCTTATGTTATATATTTGGAGCTTGTATTGATTCAGGTTAGCTGATCATTCTCTCTCTTTTTTTTTTTTGGCTTTTTGTTCTACCAGTTTTTTGTTTCTTGTATTGATAAACTGCTACAAGAACATAGAATCTCCTGTTAAAAATAAGAACTTTAATTATGAGACTTGAAACCCTTCAAGACTTCAATTTGATTAACGTTTATTGATTATCATATCTAAAATCGTACTTGATCTTCACATAGGAAGATGTTACCCTTTTTTGAACAATATATTTTACATTGAAATATGAAGGCATGCATTTCAAAACCAAAAAATTTGAACAATATATTTTACCGTTATCCACCATTTCATATACAATTTATAAAATCATCACTTTCTACTTTATGCATCAAACTTTAGATATAAACGAAATCAACATCAACAACTAACAAACCATTTCTCCTACTTTTCCATTTATAACTTTTAATGCTTGGACCATTCTAACATTTTTTACTTTCAATTTTCATTGTACGATTTCAACCTATTTCACTTCCACACCCAACTCTCATCTTAATCATTCCATACTTATCTTAATGTAAACTTAACAGCCTATATAGTTTACATGCTTCTTCTTACTCTAACATCACACCAACTCTAAATAATCAATACAAGTTAGGGCATAATAACATTGATCCCCCGCGCGTAGCGCGGAATCAGCCTCCTAGTTGTCAATAAATTATGAACAGATAGTTTAGTATTTGATTCGCTTGTACTTCCTTTCTACGAGCTTATGATTTGAAATAAATGGTCCCATCCTGCTAAAACAATTTTGATGTGTGTTCAATATGGTGCCTTTGGCTTTGCCAAAATAAATTTAATCATTGAGTTTACTTCTTTTGACAAAAGAAAGCCACAACTAAAGTCTGATAATCAGTAAGAGATGGGTGAGACTTAAAAAACTTGAATTTACTTCTTTTGACCTAAAAAAACTATAAAACTGAACTCGAAAAATATAAATATAAATATAAATATAAAATATATATATGGATTATGATTAAAATAATTTGAGTTAATTTTGACTTAAAAAATGGCACACCACTAGCAGAGACCACTACTCCAGTTAAAAGTAAGGCTTGTCCCAATTCTTTGTTTTTCTTTTTCTTTTTTTTTTTCTAATTGTTTAGTATTTAGATCAATAAACAATCACATATACTCGCACTTTATTAATTAAATCTGGATCTAGATAGACAGACACTAACATGTACTCACACATACAAATGCAGACTCCATGAATTCTGTGGTCATATGGGTAGTAGCGAGCCATTAATTGTGCCATTATTTTTATATCCTTCTTGTTTTTGTCAATAATATTATTGGGTAGTAGTGACTCGTGAGCCATACGGGATCTAGGCTTTTATATTACGTGCCTGATGTGGTTTTTAGGTTTAGCTACTTCTAGAATGTTACTTAAAGTTCCCCTTGGTTGGAAGTCTAATTATGTTTTGTTTATCATGTACTCCCTCCCTTTTTTTATAACTGACGTTTAAGAAATTTGCTTTTAAGTACTTTTATCTGTCGTTTTATTATCCCCATGCAACATTAATTATTTTTTCACAATTTTACCCTTTTATCTCTCTTTTCATAATTGGTGGGAGTTAGTTTGCATTGCTTTTGGTCTAGTAAAACAGCACCATCTAATACTCTAGTGAGAGAAAACATGGGTGAATTGGACAATTAATGAGGGTACAAAAGGAAAGTAGTGTATAGATTTAAACAATGAAAAACTTTTCTTAATTGGTGTGCAAAACCTTAAACGCCAGTTATAAAAAAAGGGAGGGAGTAACATTTAATTGAACAATTCATATAATCATGTACTCCCTCCCTTTTTTTATAACTGACGTTTAAGGTTTTGCACACCAATTAAGAAAAGTTTTTCATTGTTTAAATCTATACACTACTTTCCTTTTGTACCCTCATTAATTGTCCAATTCACTCATGTTTCCTCTCACTAGAATATTAAATGGTGCTGTTTTACTAGGTCAAAAGTAAAGAGAGAAGTAATAATTACTAGAAGTAGTAATTAAGAGTCCTGTATTGGTAAAGAGAGATAAAAGGGCAAAATTGTGAAAAAATAATTAATGCTGCATGGGGATAATACAACGACAGATAAAAATACTTAAGAGCAAATTTCTTAAACGTCATTTATAAAAAAAGGGAGGGAGTAGTATTTATCACTTTTTTTTGTCATTCATTGAAATTATCAACAATCAATTATCAAAGCATCCCCACCCCACTTGTGTGTTGATTCCAGAGTACATATATGTGTATATATATATATATATATATATATATATATATATATATATATTGATTGTGCTGAATTCATGGTGTTAAAAAAAAAAGGTAATTCGTTCATCTCATTTTGATAGTCTTATTTGACTTTTCATTTCTCTAAAATGCTTTTATTTAATGTATTTTATTATCATTGAATATAACCTACTTTAGTCATTAATTGCTTTGGTTCATGCGTTAAATGGTGCAATTTTTCATCCATATTATTGTTGCAATTAATGCAAAGTTATAATGATTAATTATACTACTAATAGTAATATAAGAATATTTTAGACAAATAGCAAGGTAGATTTACTCTTCCAATAAATTTAACTAATTTTTCTTAAATTGTGTAAAAAAAAAAAAATCAAAACTATCGAAATGGGATGGAAGGAATATAAAAGTCGCTGGCTATATCCAAATCTTCCCTTAGTTGTAAACTGCATTCACTTGTAATTAATACCATTGGAAAGATAATTAATCTCTTATTCAACTTAAGATAATTTGTCCATCATTCAACTTAAAATAAACACGACGCCTAAATTAAACTAGAGCAAGGACGATAACAGCATCGAAGTTCAATTTTCTTCAATTAAAGCTACTAGTAAGTACGTTGAGGGAAAATTTTCTTGCACATGACATAGGGGGTGAAATCCTTTATTTTCAAATATCTATATTACAATGTATTCTTAATAATTCTTAATATTTAACTGAAGAGTCCTCCAAGGAAAAAATTCAATAGTAAAATTGTGACAAAGGTCTACTTACCAAAAAAAAAAAAAATTTTGTGCAAAGGTCACAATTTTTAATTGGAAAACATGCACCACGAAATTGCATGCCTCTAAGCCAAAGAGAGATGATCATGCACAATCTCCATATCCAATTTTCCTGGATTCCTGTCACTATGGATTGATTGTCTCAACCTAACTACATGGAAAAAAAAGGGTGACTTCAATTTATCAGCTAGAGTTATTCACGTGTTCGTTAAACTAAATTTAAAAAATAAAATGCAGAACATTGGCCAACTTTGCAACATATATATAACTGGTACAAATGCATTGATTTATGCAGCGAAATTGTCATTCCCAGCAAGGAAATATAAGAATTCATTACTGGCTGGTGTCACCAGTGTGCATGTTGCTTGACTCTCATGGCTGCTCCTCCCTCTGAAGGGTAGAGAGCCGAGTCAAGAAGACTGGAGACACGAATAGAAAAGGGGAAAAGGAAAAGAAAAGGAAAACTGATTGAAAAGCTTAATAGTTCAAAAGACAAACATGGCAGACGGAGACAAACATGATTTTATTTTTAATTTTTTTCTAAGGAGGGAAGGGATATGATTTAAGAAACGGAGATGAAAGAAAGATTTAAATTCAAAACCTCTAAATTTTAGAAACTCAAACTTAATCATTAAATCAAGGTCTCCTTGGTAACACGAAAGCTCATTCATTTATCCATCAAGTGGGGTGTGGTAAATATGGATGGAAAGATGAAGTAACCTGGTTATCTCTGCATCTTAAGAAGAAATCATACATCAATTAAGTGAGGAAGCTGCATGTGAAACCTGAGAGCTTCCAACGTAAAGCTGGACTAGCTCTCTTGATTACAAATAACTCACGCTTGGTAGTACAAAGACAACCCATACTTGATTGGATGAACATAAGATGAGGTTACATTAGTCACATCGTTTGTGAGATTTCAGCCCAGTTGTTTGATCCTTTATGATTTGGGTAAACTAATCTACTGCATAAGCTCACCATTTTGCCCATGGTATAGATGAACTAAATGAAGTAGATGCAGGATTGATGGTTGACTGACCAATAGATTTAGGACTTTAGTAAAGTTGATGCTAGATTTAGCAGCACCTCATGTTATTTAATCCTGTGCTTATCACTCTTCTTTCATCAATCATTTAAATTATGTGTAATCAATCACCAAATTAAGTAACCCCACCCCACGCCACCATGTGTTGACTTTAGGATATTTAATTGTGCTCAGCAATACCGAAGAACTTCCTTCCCACTTTCTCAAGAGGAAATTTTATTATTTGCCGGCCTTGAGCATAATGCTGCCATATTATTCTGACAAAATAGTACACTATCATAGTTTTTTTTTTTTTTTTTGCCTACTAGAATACATTGTATCTGTAGGAGACTCGGAGGCCGAGTTTTTTGTTCTTTAATTGGTGAAGGAAAATTATAAGATAAAAAATGGAGTTCCAAATTAAAAACATTTTGAATGTAAATGTCATTAGAAAAAATAATTAATATTAATTCAAGTGAAAATTTTTTTAAAGAATACTAAATGTGAATGTACAGCATAGTAAGTTTTTTTTTTTCAACAAGTCAAAATTACACAACAACAGAGAATAGAAACACTCGGAAGTAATCAAAATCCTGGTGCAAAGCACAATCTAAGGTGCAGCCCACAAACCAACACCATCCAGCCAATTGGTAACTGGAAGTGCGGTTGAGGATCTTAAACTCAGGGTAACTACCCCACAATCTTTCGATGTGGGATGGAGTACAGCACAGTAAGTTGAATATACTCATAATTGCCCAAGAGATATCGTCCTGGATTATCTAATGCTCAAGAACCACAATAATAGTAACAAACCTAAACCAATTCCAAAAAAAAAAAAATCCAAAAAAATTCAAAAAATTAAACTTAGTCCAAGATAAGATTCTTTGATCACCCATACTCTAAATCTGTTCCCATCCGAATTCAGTTTCTCTATCTTAATTAAGTGTCTAACTAATTAAACTCAAATTCTTGGAGATCGAGTTCAATCTAATTTGCTAATATTTAATTGAACTGAATTGCAGGAAAGCAAAATTTGTTATTTAGTGCTCTAAAATTGTTTAGAAGAACATGCGGTTTAGAGGAAGTGTAGTTCACCCTATTAGCTGCCTTGAGCATCATGCTGCCATATTATTCCAACTAGGACACCCTATTAATTAACTGTCGTTTACCTGCCAAAATAACAGGAGAATCAGTTTCCCAATTTCTTCCAAAATAGTCTCGTACAATTGTACTTTCTTTTCTTCGCATTTTCTTTAAGCCATTAGAGAATCAGCTTCCCAAATTTTTTCCGTTAACGTTCATTACCATTCTATGTCATCTTATTCACGGTCAACAAATAGATGGAGCACCGTAAGATTATGATGGCAGCCTGAGTGATTAAACATTCATGAGTTGATTGCAGCCTGAGGTATATTATGAGTATTCACTAACTAGGGTTGCTTCTCAATACTTTTTTTTCCCCTGAACTTTCTACTCACTTGATTTCCTCGGCTGCTAAACATTTAAAAAGAGAAAAAGAAAACTAGACTCAATTTCCAGAATATTCACTAGACCCTTTCGAGCACATCCGTTGATAATGAAATATATATATATATATATATATATATAATACTCCTATATATAATATTCCTCGATATTGTCAAAAAATTTATATAACCATGTATCAATAAACCACCGTTAGGTGACATAAATGAAAAAGTTTATATCTTGTATTAATATGGGATCCAAATTAGTCTTTTCAATTACATACCCATTGTCAAACATGATCAAACAATAAATAAACAAAAAATTTGCAACTAGCAAATTATAAAGGACAAACTTTAACATCATAAATATTCTTGTCAATATATTAAGGTTAGTTGCTGATATTTTATGGTATTAAAGTTCGCTCCTTGCAATATTTTGGTGGTAGATTTTTTGGATTATTTGTTATTGATCATATTTGACAATGGTTTCATAACTGAAAAGAGTAATTTGAATCTTGCATTAAGTGAAATGTATAGAATGATATACTACTTTTGATGCCATATATGATTTAAACCCTAATGACAAACAACAAATTCTAGTATTTTTGTTTTTAATGTTTGTACTGGTATTAGATTAATTAAATAATTTAGTAGATGAGGGACAATGGTGGAATCATATTATCTTCTCTCTTCTAATATTAATTTTTATTGTTGATTGGACCTAGATGTTACAAGATAGTAAACATCAAGGGAGGTTAATGTAATTTATAAAATCTGGAGAGAGGCCAGTGAAATAGTTAGAAACTTCCAGGGAGGTTTCTCATGACATTATCCCTTTTCATTAGTGAAGTTACTTTTATTGATCAATGGATAGTGAATTTTTTTTTTAGATATATATTCAGTGAATTGTATGCGTTGACTTGTAATTTTCCAAATTGTTTTAGAGCCCCCCCCCCCCCCCCCAAAGGCTATTGTTTAGCCATCCATCAATCTTAGATCTGTTTCAATTTAAATTTGCTAGGTTATAGACTAGATTAGCTTTGAACAAAACACAGAGGACCATCATTCCCCAAAAATAATGGATTAAATTTAATTTGGCAAAGCAAAAGGTGTCATATGGAACACACATCAAAATTGTTTTAGCAGGATGGGACCATTTATTTCAAATCATAAGCTCGTTGAAAGGAAGTATAAGCGAATCAAATACTAAACTACCTGTTCATAATATATCAACAATTAGTGGCTAAACTCACACCATTTTATCCTAAATCCACACATGTGATGCGTTGATGAATTTCACGTCAGCATTGAAACTCTTTATAAAGGATGAATTTAGAATAGTGGGGTATAGATTTAGGTATTCTGTATACGCCAAAAAAAAAAAAAAAAGAAAGACAATTTACGTAGTGATGAGATGTTGTAATTCCCAGTAAGGAAATATAAGAATTTATTAGTTACAATACAAATAGGTGTCACCGTTACAAGATGACTGTCTTGACTGCTTCTCCCTCTGAAGAGTGAAGAGTAGAGAAGAAAGAAAGACTAGAGAGAGACATGTGGTAATAACAGAAGAGTGGGGGAAAAAACCAAGTGAAAAGCTTAACACTTCACAGGAACAACAGCACACAGAGAGGCAAATTAAGCCTCGAAATGGAGGACAAATGAAATTGAAAATTACACTAAATTGGGTCTTCTCAGAATGTCATGCTCATCGCCCAGGAGGAACACAGAACCCATAACTTCCTCCTGCAACTGGCATACAGTACAGGCCTGAGTTACAGTAGGTGCAAGGATCGTTTGGTTGCGATATAGCACCTTCAAAAGGTGGATCACACATACTTCCTTCTGTGCAATAGCCACAATCATCTGGTGGTGATCCAAAGATGCTGTACAGACAGATTCCAAGGACTCCAGGAGCTGCACAATTAGTAGGTTGGTTATAGTCAGTGGCGCTGGAGCTGCTATAATTTCAAGCCATGACAAAACTCCTTAAGCTATGGCCCTGTATCTATTTCCCACAAACTTTGAAGTGTAGATATTCTTTAGAAGAGAGTAAAGATTATATCTCGAAATAAAGCAGTTGCAAGAAACTGCGAAACATTGAAAGGGCAATTAATCTGGTGTTGAGCCAATTAAAATATGCTAATGTGCATTAATTAGAAAATTTTTGAACTGAAAAAGGTTCTTGATTATGGCCCTATTTGTGTTTCTAAGTTGGACCAACAGGAAACAGAAAGCAGTAACATAGCTAAGAGACTTACAAGCAGCAGAAAATAAGAGGATAGCAAAGAGAACTAGAGAAAAGGAAGGTCTGCTCGTCATCTTCTCCGAAAGACAAAACTCGTCCTCAGTAGCCAAGCCAACGGAGTTTCTTGTAATCTTCTCTTTTCTTTCGTGATTATCTTCTAGGCAGGAACAGCTACATTTATAGGCGGTCCTTTGGGTGTTAAATGTTTACTTTCACAAGTAACAAAGGTTTACATATATTATAGACCGGCCAACATGCTTTACCTGTCATGTCAATCCTTTAATTATTGTAGTTAATGTTATTGTAATATATGAAAAAAAATATTTTGACTCTTTGATTAAGGTGTATATGTGCACGAGTTTGCTACTATGTTCTTGTGTAAAGAATTTTAGTTGGGGGTAAATTACATTTTACTCCCCTATGGTTTAATATTTTGTTGTACATAATCTCACTATGGTTTCTAGAGTTATACATAATCCCCTCATTATTTGGATTAAAGTGTCAAAATAACAAAATTTGTAATCCATAACGGAATCATCTAAAATATTAAAAATATCCCTATATAAATTTAAAAATTATTTATCAACCACAACGGTAACTCACAAAAACTTGAAAGTCAAAGTCAACTAGACCCAACAGATGCATTAAAGTTCCATGTTCTTCAATTGAAGAACAAAAAGTTATATCTTGCACATGGAGCATTACAAGTTGAGAGATGCCTTTTATTAATTTCTTCGTTCACGATTTTCGTAATATGATTTTAACTATAGTTAAAATTAAGCTTTTTCTTCGGCTAGATTTGGTTTAGCCGACTATTTAATCCGCAGCAGTTAAACGTACCTAGTTAGGGGCTAGTATTAAATAGTATACAGGGCAAACAGATGAAAGAATTTGAGCTGACTAACTGGTTCTTTGAAGTTTGAACATTAAGTTTCATTTGCTTGTATTCCGGAGGTATCATTTGTTGTTTCCTGGAGCCGTGAGAAGCTGCCAACTTGCTACGTATTTCACAAGTTATAATTTGTTTAATTCCATTCTGTTCCATTTGGATTGAGAAATTTGATGAAAATTTTGAAATCTACTCAAATCGCTCCAGTTGTTTAGATTGTTTAAGAAATATTTGAGTTTGTACTTCATATATTAAGTTTGAACTCGAGCTCATCAAGCAATTCAAACTACCTGGATTCGAGCTAAAAATCAATCAATATGAGTTCAAACTCGAGTTTTGACTGTGCAAACTCCCGAAAAACTCGATTGAACTCGACTTATTTGCACCTCTAGTCAATCCCCACTAGTTGAAGTTTAATTTCCTTGGGTAAAATGAAACTTGGGCATAATCTCATCATTATTGACAAATCCTAGTGGCCTCAAGAATTTGGAAATAGTAATTGACCCTTCTATTTGCACGCCTACAGTCCAAGATTCTTCTGCGCCATATCCTTTCACCACCCATGTTTGAAATTTGTCCCCAGTCAGCTTGCAAGCTGTACAAGGCTTCCATCAAAAGACCACCAACGTAAATCATGGATCATAACATTGAAAGAAACTCCATGCAGGTGGATAGAATTCCTTCTTTTTTAGCAAGTGGATAGAATTCCCTCATCCTGTCCGCAAAGGCATGATTAAAAACCAATATCTAGAGTTCATGATTATCGTTTAAATTATAAAACTAATCAATTATGGAAGTAAACCCATACTTGAAACAAGTCTAATAAATATATATTCGCAGGCAATACACGAAATCTCGCTTAGCCGTAAACTCCTATTCATGTTATGGCCAATTGACCCCACCTTCGGAAGAGGGAATTTTATAATTTGCCTGCCTTGAGAGCATGATTCTGCCATATTATTCCGAAAATTGTACGCCATATATTAGCTGTTTCTTGCCCGCTAGAATACATTGTATATATCCCTGGGAGGCTCAGAGGCCGAGTTTTTGTACATTTATTGGTGAAGGCAAATAATAAGGCAACCTGCAGCAATTAACTAATCTGATGGGATTTTCTCTGATCTGTGTCATAATTCCGCAATGATTTAACAATTCTAGACCGATTTCTGATCTCTGTCATTATGGTATCTCGCTCACTAGTCATTTTGAACAGCTTGCAGCAAAATGGGATTGTAGTTTGGGCTAAACTTTGTAGTTTGTCAACGGGTGCTAGTCTTATAGTTTGTTGTAACCACCTCCCATCTCTTGAAGCAGGAAATTACAAAAATAAGAGAAAAAAAAAGAACAGAGAAATTCAGTATCTTGTTGTAAGCAACTTGCATTTGGTACCATAAAGTATATATGGACAAGTTGACCTTGAGCTCTTCATATTAATTTATCTTGAGGAACGTCTTTGGACAAATGATAAAATGGCCACAATTATTATAGAAATATATATATTTTTTAGACACCAACCCTTTAATTACAAGTAAGGGTTGTCCCCTTCCCCGTTTTCTATATTTTTCCCTTAACGTTTAGTACTTAGATCTATATATAAATCAAAACTAGGGATGGCAATGGGGGCAGGTGACCGCGGGCACCCGTCCCACGGGGGGCTAATGGGGAGGGGGTTGGAGCCGGGGGGAGGGGGTGGGGCGGGTGCGGGAGGAAAAAATTCCCCCCACTTAGAAACGGAGCGGGAGGGCGGGGGAGTGTACCCCCACCCCATCCCCCGCCCTGCCACCCACTTTAAAAAAATAAATATATAAAATATATATGTATATAATTATATATATAATATATAATTTAATTAGTTACAAACTTATGATAATGATATTATTAGTTATATGTATTATATAATGTCTATTAGTATATATAATATAATTGATATTATTAATTATACTAATAATTATATATGTGTACTAATACAAATTATTAATTGGTTATACTAAATTTACTAATACATTTATACTAAATCCCTAATTACACTTAATGCAATAACATTTTTTTAAAAAAGCACAAACACAATAATGAATTAGTGATTGTATTTGTGCAAAAAATGAACACTTGACTACTTTAGTTATATTTATTTCATCATGTTAGATTGTATTCAAATAATTTTTATTTGATTGTTTTTATAAGTTTCAATTGTAAAATTATAAGGAATAATAATTTGATGATATGTTAATATTTTAGTATTTGATTGTTTGCTAAAATTTAACCATAATAAAATTATATAACAAATTTTTATTAACCCCGCGGATGAAAGCGGGGGCGGAGGGAGCGGGGGACGGGGGATGGGGTGGGGGCGGGGGGCCCCCGCTGCCATCCCTAATCAAAACACACTCACACTTTAGTAAGTAGATAGACACACAACAATAGGGGGTCATACGCACAAATGCACCCACCATTTATTTGTGGTAGCAGCACCTTCATTTTTATGGAAAAGAATAAATTGGGCCATTATTCTTGTGTCTTTTTGTTTCTGTCAATGATTTTAAGGGTAGTAGTGAATCATATGGAATCTAATTTTGGTAATAAAAAAGTCGGATTATTTAGGCGTTCAGCAATTTGAGGTTTAGACTTTAGCCGGTTTCAGCCATCCTTAATCAGCGAATTATGGGTTCTTGCGATGGCTCCTTTTAACTACTTTCAACATATTGTCATTGAGTTGTATGTTCCACAATCACTGATATGATTAGTAAAATTAATGAGATAAAAAAATTACAAAATAAAGATAATGTATCATTTTCTTATAATTGTGGTACCTTGACTCCTTTTGACCGCTTTCAGCAAAATTATCATTGATTTGTATGATTCTTTAAATCGTTAATTTTACTAACGTTATCATTGATTGAATTTAAATGCGATGAACTTGTGAATTTAGGGTGCCAAATATCCAAATTGATAGTTTAGAGCGCAAAGTGTTCAAAATTGAAGTTTACGATGCAAAATAGAAAAGTGAAGGTGCAAAATAGAGTTACTCCTAAGATAATGATAAATCTTTTTAATTCTATCTTTGCTAAAGGGCTTGTCAAATGGCGCTCATCAACATAAGCCTCAACTTCTATTGTTTTCATAGAAAAGTCATTTTGCTATTAAGACGTGTCCAATTGTAATGCACCAAAGCATATGAAAACTTTTACAAAAATATAGCCTACATGAAAACTGAGTGTCTAGGTAAATCACAAACAAAGAAAAACATGGATCGATAAAAAAAAATTGAGAGACAGACATTTAGATTACTAGCTTCCGGAAACTGGAAAGAGAACTTACTATATAAACTCAGACCAAAAAGGGTAAAAGTTCCAATAGAAACCAATTAATTCAATCCAAAAAAAAAAAAATCAGATAATATACCAGGTCTGTTTTATCTTGATAATATCTGTAGGACACCATCTCCACGATCTATGTTATGTTGTTCAGCCAGCACCTGCTACTTGAATTCAATTTCCTTCGGTGAAATAAAACTTGGGACGTATGTGATTGCATCTGACTCATTAGACCTGCGACTGTCAGGTATAACAACTTTTCCAGTCTTCCAATTATTACTATACCTCACCAAAGTCCTGCCATCAATATCCACCATTATCTCTCCATTCTTCAAAAACCCTAGTGGCCTCAAACATTTGGATTTCGTAAACCATTCTACTTGCACATACTTAGTCCAACATTCACCAACGCCGTATTATTTCATTATCCATATTTCGAATTTATTCTCAGGCGGCTTACAAATTGCACCAAGGCATCCGTCAAAAACCCCCAATGTAAAGCATTGATCCCAACCATGACCATCGCCATGATTGATACTGGGCACTGCTATCCTCCTAACTGTGGCTTCTGATAGATGATAAGCAGTCACCTCGCAATATGATGGCCAATGAACTATGCCGTTTAGTAAGGTGCCCCTACATCCATGCAATCTCTGTCCATAAGGCATTTGTGATATTAGTTGCAGTTCGGCAGTCCTTGTCCAGTGGTACAAACTTCTGCTCGAGTTCGAGTTGAGTACATATATTGTATAAATAGGATTATACAAAGTGGTGCGAAGGCATAAAACTAATTTGTAACTACCATTATTACTGCTGCAATCATTGTGGCCGAACCAATAAAACTCGTGACCATAACCAACGGATTCAGATTCAGGCACATCTAAAGTTAGTAAATCTTTTGTGGAAGGATTCCACATCAATATAACCTTGTTTTTATTGTATTCACTCATTAAGGATACTAAGCCATCGCAAGAACCCATGATTCGCAAAGAACCGAAAGAAGACGGCTTTGGATAGCGAACCTTTTTATTCATCAGATTGCTGCCTTCGTTGTATTTTTGGCTGCCAATACAAGCATTGATATCAATGGTGGCATGTGGGTAGATCATGAATACTCGATCAGGGTTTCGCTCGGGGTCTGGTTTTAATAGCTCAAATTGTTTCTTGGTGAAACGAGAGCTGGAGATCAGATCATACCATCCATGGCAGACGCACTTGAATCTGCAGAGATTCTTGGCATCCACCCTGACGAGAATATTCTCGCATACTTCTGGAGGAATGTAGAAGTTAAACTTGACTATTCTTTTCTCCTCTCTTTGGAGCCTCTTTGATGCATGCTTCTTCTTCGCCATTAATTCGTGTCTCTGCTGCTGGCAGATTCAAGGTGAAGATCTTCAGATTCTGACTCCAAAAGTGATGATTTTATGTAGTACGGAACCTGTAGGGTTTATAGGGTGCGGCTGTATGATTAAGTTGAGAAAGCCTTTCCTTGGTTTTATATGCTTTGCTTGGTTTGGCGGGGTTTTTTTTTTTTTGGGGGGCTTGGGGGGGGGGTTGGGGGGAAGAAGAAGGGTTGTTAACAATCCAACTACGAGTATATTCAGAATTATTTGGAAAAGGAAAATATTCAAAATAGGTAAACCATAGATCTAGCTACCCTTGTCAAAGTGTTTCTAACAAATTTTTTTCTGTTTAATAAAACGCTCCTATGTGTCGTTAGGAGGAGTTAAATCCAAATCCCTCCATCCTAAATTTATATCCATTGCACAAATTCCAACGCTAATGCTACGAGACATTAATGCATCAGATTGTGGATTTAAGAATGAAAGGTGTAAATTTAATTTTTTTTTTTCCACAAACGATAATAACTATATAGATGTTAACACTTGATCATACAAGGACTACTTACAAAATGAGTATAAGCCCTGTCATCTAATCTATTAGCCTCCTTTAACCAGCATGGGAACTGGTTTACCCAATTAACATCATTAACTAGCTGAGAAGCAAAACATGCTAGCCTATGACTTGCTGTATTAAGAGATCTAGGCTTCCAAGAAATCGTGCAGTAGTCAAAAACTTGAACCATATCTGCAATGTCTTCCAGGATGGTTGCTAGGATTCCATCTTGAACATTGTTGTCATTAATGTAGTTAGTAGCCGTTTTACAGTCTGAGAAGATAGCTATCTTCCCCCAACCTTCTTCACGAGCCATTTGGAGAGCTAATCTAATGGCTAAAGTTTCTTCCATTAGAGCATCCCCCTTCTTCTGCTCTACTACTCCCCTTGCTCTAATAATTTCGCCTGTCCAATGCCTAGCCACTATTCCCTTCCCTGTTCTTATCATTCTCGCATTAAGGGCTGCATCTGTATTAATTCTAATAACTCCATCTAGCACTGGTTCCTTCCCTGGTTTAAACTTTCCCTTGCCTCCTGCCGTCTTTTTGTACCCCTCCTCCTGTTTCCTCACATCCTCATACTCCTGCCATTCTTGTTGTGCTTTCAGACCTATCTCCTTCGCCTCCTTCCTTTTTTGCTCGAATGCCACCTTGTTTCTTGCTTTCCAAATGTTCCACATGATGTTTGCTGTTAGGCTTATATGCTCTGTCCCCGACTCCTTAGTTCCTGTCTGCGCCACCGCCACCCACCATCTCCATAAATTACCTTGTAGATCTCTCAGCCCCTCCCATCTGACTGATGCCAATTTCCATACAACTTGAGCTCTTGGGCAAGTGAAAAGCATATGCTCGACTGTTTCTATTTCATCTCCACAGACAGGACATATCATATCCCCTTTCCCCGTCCTTTTGTAGATGGCTTCGTTCACCGCAACTCCCTTCTGTAAGCACTTCTAGATGAAGTGTTTAATTTTGTGCTTAAGATGCAAGTTCCACAGTTGTTTCCAGACAGAATGTTTCCTCAACTCCCAACTCGTCTCCCCTTCCAGCCTTTGTCTTCTTTTGCTTCTGTTGTTATCCTGCATAGCCTTCCTATATCCTGACTTTACTGTATAGTTTCCAGATTTAGCAAATTTCCAAAAGAGCCTGTCAGGTCGCTTGAACATGCTAAGAGGCATGCTTATGATTCGCTCTCTATCTGCATTGTTGAAGACATTCTGCAATATTTCGCCGTTCCATCTTCCATTGCGAATTAACTGGCTGACCGTTTGGAGTTGGCTATTTGCGGGACTTGGTGTTGTAGGCCTACCTGTCTCAGATTCCAAAATCCATCTGTCCTTCCAAATATTCACCTGTATTCCATCCCCTATTCTCTTCCACAGTCCATCATCCAGCAAGCTCCACGCACTATGTATGCTTTTCCATGACCAGGAAGCTGAAGTTGGAGGATGCTTTTCCAGGGACTTAAGATCTTTTAAATACTTACTTCTAAGCACTTTACTTACAAGCAGATTTGGAGAGCAAATGATTCTCCATAATTGCTTAGCAAGTAACGCTTTGTTAAAACATTCCAAGTCCCTGAAACCCATCCCCCCATTTCCTTTCACTTCAGCTAGTTTCGACCAGCTAATCCAATGGATTTTCTTCTCCTGATCACTATTTCCCCACCAAAAGTTTGCTATGCTCTTGCAGATATCCTCGCACAGTCCTTTAGGTAATTTGAAACAGGCCATAGCATAATTTGGCATCGCAAGAATTACTGACTTTATGAGCACTTCCTTTCCTGCCAAACTCAGCATTTTGGTTGTCCAACCTTTCAGCTTCTTGATGACAGCACATTTAATATAGCCAAACACTTGATTCTTTGTTCTACCTATTGCCATTGGTAGCCCCAGATATTTCCCGTTTGTTGCCTCCTTTAAGTTCCCCAACTCTTGACAGATGGTCTCTCTTCTTGTCCTCGAAATATTCCTGCTAAAGTATACTGCAGATTTGTCAAAGTTTACAAGTTGTCCAGAAGCTATCGCATATCTTTGTAGCATTTCTTTCACTTGTTTAGCCTCCTGTACCGTTGCCTTACAGCAAATCAGTGAATCATCTGCAAAAAATAAGTGAGATATTTGCGGACTGTTCTTACACACTTTCACTCCTGTGAGCAGCTTCTCTCCCACTTTTGTGTTTATCAAATGCGACAAACTCTCTGCACAGATTAAGAAAAGGTAGGGAGAAAGGGGGTCTCCTTGTCTCAAACCTCTACTAGCATTAATATAACCCACTTTGGTTCCATTAAGATTGAAAGAAAAAGACACCGAAGAAATGCAAGCCATTATCCACCTAACAAAGATAGGGCAGAAACCCATATGCATCATCATTCTTCCTATGAATTTCCATTCCACTCTATCGTAGGCTTTGGACATATCAAGTTTAATGGCCATAAAACCTGTCTTTCCTTTTCTTTTATTTTTCAAAAAATACATCACTTCATGAGCAATGAGGACATTATCCACAATTTGTCTACCTGGCACAAAAGCTGACTGCGACTCACTAATGCACTTCTTTAAAACAACTTTCAGTCTATTAGCAAGAACTTTTGAAATGATTTTGTATAAAGTGTTGCACAAGCTAATAGGTCTGAACTGAGTCATATTGATGGGATGGTCCACTTTAGGGATCAAAGTAATCAAGGTTTCATTAATCACCTTAAGCATATTACCAGAGTGAAAAAAACTCGAAACAGCATTCACCACATCGCTTCTCACAATATTCCAGTAGTTTTGGAAAAAGAGAGGGGACATACCATCTATCCCGGGTGATTTGTTTGGATGCATGGAAAACAAAGCTTTGTATATCTCTTGTTCCCCTACAGGTCGGATCAGGTGCTCGTTCATCTGTCTTGTTATAGTATTAGGAACTCCCTGTAGTGTTTCTTCTAACTGGTCCGCACCTCCAGAGGTGAACAAGTGTTTGTAATATCCACAAATTTCCTCCTTAACTTCCTGCTCATTTGTGCACCATTGACCATTATCCTTTTGTAGACATGTAATCTGTCTTTGTTTCCTTGCCTTCATCACACTCACATGGAAGAAAGCTGTGTTTTTGTCTCCTTCCCTCAACCACCTTGTCCTAGCCTTTTGACTCCAGTATAATTCCTCCTCTCGATATGCCTTACTCAGTTGCAACTTTAGCTCTACCAGCTGACCCTTTTTTCCTGTGCTGTTGCTATCCTTCAGCTCCTGAATCCTCCCCTTTATCACCTGGATGTTTTTCCCAGAATTCATATTACTTTTCCTTCTCCATGTAAGTAAGGCCATTCTGCACTCCCTTATTTTTTTTGTTACCTTAAACATCCTTGATCCTTTATGTTCTAATCCCCAGGCTCTTTCTACTACTCCTTTTGTTTCTTCCATCTTGGCCCAACGCTGGTCAAAGTAGAACCTTCTCTTCACCTTCCTCTGGTTGGGATTTATGTCTATAACCAGTGCGCTATGGTCCGAAGCTTCATTTTCTACATGGCTACAACTGGCTCTAGCAAACATATGGTACCATTTTATACTAGCCAAGCCCCTATCCAGTCTTTCCTTTACTTCACCCTCACCTTCCCACTGATTGCACCATGTCCAAGGTTTCCCCTCAAAGCCTAAATCAACCAGCTCATTCTCCTTTATAAACCTGTTGAACTCCTTAAAGCTACTCTCATGTCTCCTCCTCCCTCCCCACTTTTCCTCCCCTGATCTGATGTCATTAAAGTCTCCTACCAGTACCCAATATTCCCCCCAATCCCTCTTTTTTTGTTCTAACGTTTTCCACTGCTCCTTTCTTATATTTTCATCTGTACTCGCATACACTCCCACCAGCCACCATTCACAATCAGTTTCCCTATCCCTCAGTTTCATCCCTATGAAGAAAGTCCCCTGGTCCATACACATCACTTCTACTTCTTCCTTCCACATCATAGCTAGTCCTCCTGCTTTCCCACTAGGATTGATCACCCAGCAATTGTCGAACTTTATTTGTTTCTGAACCTTTTCTATGGTTAATTTCTGATTCTTTGTCTCAGCCAGAAAAACCACACTTGGAAAGTGGAGATGTACCATCTCCTTTAGTTGGGGAATTGTCAAGGGTCCTCCCACACCTCGACAATTCCACACCAAGACCTTCATTTACACTGTGGAGGCTTCAATGGGATTGCCTCCAGTTCCCTCATTTTAATCATTTTCTGACATTTCTTCCTACCTTGGTCCTGTGTTCCGTCATCCTCTCCATCCTCCTCCATAATTTTTCCCTCCTCATTCACTATGGGTTTCTTTCTTTTTCCCCCCAAGTCTCCCATATGAGTATTATTGTTTAACTCTCCTAATGGTGTTCTTTTAAGCCTATGGAACCCTTTTTGTATTTTACGCTTGTTTTCCACCTTCACAGAAACTAAAGAAAGCATTCTATCCTGTCCCTCCCCCATTCTAACCTCCTGTACATGCTCCCTATTTCCTATCCCTCCCTCTATTACACCACCCACCTCTCCTCCCTGCAATTCGAAGTCCATGTGACTTTCCACCTCTCCTGTCATTTTCTCCTCCTCCTGTCTTTGAGCTTCCAGTCCAATACCCTGATCACCCCTCCTCACCTCCTCTGTCCTTGGAACACAAGCTTCCCTTTCCTTATCACTAATGACTAGAGCTTTTCCCCCTCCTCCCTCTTGCCTGCCTCCCCCTACTCTCTCTTCCCCCTCTTGCCCCCCTCCCTCTACGTTCTGTCTCGTCCTTTCCGGTTGACCTGCTCTCTCCCCTATCCCTTCCTCATTCCCTCTTGAACCACCTCTACCCAAACCTTCATGTTGTCCCTTAGAAAGCACCTGTTTTCCGGCTTCACCCCTGAGAGGGGATAACATTATATTGCCTGCTCTCATCCACGGTCCGAATTGTGCTTCCCTACCAGCTTGGTTTGCCCTCGCTTCTCTTCTGCAATTTTTATCTCCATGTCCTATGATACCGCACTTATAGCAGAAATCTGGGCAGCGTTCGTACCTGAAATCAATCCATACCATTTCTCCGTTCAATTTCACTGATGTTCCTCTTACCAATGGCTGCTGCAAATCAACCTCCGCAAATATTTTCATATGCCTCCCCTCCTTTCCGCCCCCAGGTGGTAGTATGACCTCCCTTACACTCTTAAACATCCCTCCTATTTTCCTTCCCGCAGCCTTACTCATCCAGTGTACCGGAAGATTCCAGACTTGGATCCAGAGACTAGCAAATCTAAAGCACTCCACTCGTTTTTCAAATCCTACACACCACTCCCTTATAACAAGCACCTGGTTATCTAAAATCCACGGACCACCTGCCAAAACTTTTTCCTTTTCCTCCACCCTTTCAAAGCTAAATTGGAACACATTGGGGCCAATCTCAGTGACACGCATATTTCTGGGATAGCCCCAAACATGGTTTGTAAACTGTTTTACCCCTGTGAAGTTTGCTATCTTTTCTCCTATAATACGTCCAACCAAAGTTCCTCTGCAGTCTTGGACACTCTGTTCTACATCATCATTGCTTAGGTCGATCCCCCCCACTTCCGTATCTGATAGTTCGAACCTTCTCAAAGCCATCGCTAGCTCTTCCTCCATCTTCCCTCACACCCTACAGAGTTCCCAATACTATCTCAAAATGAACAAACAGCCTTTCCACCTGCAGAGCCAAGAGGAAAAACAAACACAACAAACACAAAGCACAAGACAAAACAAAATAAAAGATATGGTCTTAAACACTCCTAGAGTACTAGATATTCATAGATTGAATGCATACCGCATAAGCTTCCTACTACCCTTGTTAGGTGGAAATTAGGCAGAAAGCACTAATTGACAAAGACAAAAGAAAGAGAAGGGTAGCTGTAGATGAAATTGGTTTTTTCCATCCGGCCAATTGTGAGCTGAAACTTTATCCCAGCTGATCTCTCCTCGCCAAAGGAGAATCCTGCTCTAGCCCAGCTGATCTCTCCTCGCCGTGCTCTTGAGGTTTGAAAAGATTTGAAAACTAGGCGGGCTTTGGTACGGAGTTATGCAGAAGAGTTCGAAAAATGAAAGCTCCTACACAGAGGAGGGAAACTCTCAAAACAAGAGAGAGAAGCTCTCACTTTTAGAGAGAGACCCCTTCAAAGGAAATAATTCAAAGGTGTAAATTTAATTAGCTCCCCACTTTATTTGTTAATAATGATTTGGGATGGAAAGGCTTGAATTTAGCCCTTTACTCCATTTGTTATAAGAAATGAAGTTTGAATACTGAAACTCTGTTTGGATTGGGGATTTTTGGAAAAACAAGTTTTTTCAACTATAACGCTACAGTAATACACAAATAAAAAAATCTCAAAAATACCAAAAACAACTTAAAAAATACCAAAAATATATATATAAAAAAAAAAAAAGCAACCTCAAAGATATAAAAAAACAACTTAAAAAACACCAAAAATATAAACAAAAACTTTTAAAATATAAAAAATATAACCTAAAAAATAACTTCATGTACAATAAAAGTTTTTCAATTGTATTGTTATAATAAAATATTTCAAAAACAGCTAATCCAAACGGAAATTACTTAAAATTTATTAGATCTTTTGGTGCATCTAAGTTTATAACATACCTAGCAAAATCACAGACCTCTCACTCCCCCAATTCCCCTTTTTATTCAGGCAAATTAATGTGATTTTCTTACATTTGTTTATTCAGTGTTTATTTATTATTTTATGGTTTGTAGGATGAGGATGAAAAGGTGCATTGTTTGGATCTATGAGGTGTTTTTTTCTTTTCCAAAAAATAGCATTTTTTTCAACTTAGTTTGGAATACATAAGCATGGGGTGAGTAAAATAGTATACAATCCAATACGTCACAACAAAAAATTTAGGATATAAAAGTCAAACCACAAGAAAAAGAATGCAATAAAAGTTGCAATTATTGTTACCAATCTTACATAGCTACCATGCAAAACTAGGTAAATGATTATAAAGACGTGCAGGTAATCAGCAGGTTTCTTAGGATGTTTTAGTTAGATGAGCAACGAAAAAATAATTAACGTAGATTATGATTCACATACAAATTACATTGAACTATCCCTCTTCTTGTTATTTGATTCCCTCTTAGTGACCATCTGGTTCATATTGAGTATGATTTGGCCTCAATTAAACATAAGAAAATAAAAAAAAATAATTTTCAAATTAATCAACACTGTATATATTGTTACAACAACACAAGGAATTGAATAACACAATTTGAAGAGAGGAAAAAAAAATGTGCCCCTTGTCAAAAGAGTTTTTAGGTTATGAAATTGCCCTAGTAGAACTGATGACTTACCATGTATACACTCGAGAAAAAACAAGAACACTAAACCTAGGTCCCTTATAACCCAAAAATGGTCATGTATGAAATTGGCATCTTTCACGGGATGGAGGATACACAAAATGCCATGCACTTCTGAATCAAGGAGAACCTACACAAACGTCTGTGGCCTATTGTCACTTCCCTTGTTTCCTTCCCCTTGGTCCTTGGACTGCAAAACAACAGGATAATTGATATGACGTCAAACCAAAATATTTGAATCCTACTTAGCAAAAAAAAACATCCAGTTGTCAGCCATGATATTTTTATCTGTCAACCAGATTTCTTTATTTCGATCGAGGAATTTGACGAAGGTTTCAAATCTTTCGTCAAATCCCTCGATTCAAACGCAGCCTTGGTGAATTTTAATGATATACAATGATTAAGTATTCATTGAGATGAACAAGATCTTCAAAATTAGCAAAATGTGTTTACCTTTGTCTCCATCGAACTGGCTATCTTAGATGATATAGGATCCACTACGAAACTTCTATCTTGTCCGGGATTTAGTTCTTTGTTGATATCCACAGAGGGGAATTTTTCTTCAAGACATTTTGCAATATTCCCTGTTTCCTTTAGGCTTGCCATTTTCTCCGTGAAAGGCCTCTTTAATGTCAATAACTTTCTTTTGTAAGACTCTTGTCTCTGAAATAAGATAGAGATAGAGAAACACAGAGGATATGGGACAAGTATCTACTTGCAGTGAATATATAGTGAGCTAAGAGAAGAGAAGAAAGGGTCTTATGAGAGAGAGGCAAAGTACACAACAATTGTGTGACTTTGGGGCAGTGAGGAAATTATGCTAGAGGAGACAATTGTAGGAACAATAAATGATCCTATTCTTTTGGAGGATAGCCCAATGACATTGACTTCCCAACAACACGAGCAGAAATGGAATTTCTCTTCATGTTGCTGGTTTAAATTACTAGTGTGTGTGTGTGTGTGTGTTTTTTTTTCTTTGGATAATAGAAATTTCATACATCAAGATAGATATTAGTGACCCAACGCGGGATAGCTCGTGTGGTGTGTTGCTCTTCTTTAGGATATGATCACCAAGAATCGAATCTCGGACTAACGTTTTCAAGAGGAATGGACATCTCCTCTCGGGTCGTAGGGGATTAGTCGCACCAAAAACCCGGATATCCCTGTGTCAAAAAAAAAAAGGATAGATTTTAGTATCTTATTGAGTTGAACGTGAAACTATTGTACCATTTGGAGATAGGCTAGTTCAAAGTTTATGGTCGTAATTGCAATAAAAAGTATGAATCATGTTTTCATAAAGTTGTTGGTAGTCATCATCTTTTTAACTTCTTAATATCATAAGCTTCATCTACTCGTTAGTTGGCGATGAAGGGATTCATTTTCTCGAATGGAAGTAAATACGATAAAATCCTATGTTGTGCTATCCGAGGTTAACTTATTAGCAACTTTCAAGAACTATCATTTTGCACCATATGATCAACCAAACAAATGTTTTTTTTTTTTTTTGTTTCAATTTCTCCAACACCCATCAAAAGTTGGGGACATCATGCATCAAAGTCGCATATTATCCAACAATTTGCCATGAAACATCGTGGTTGAGATTGCATTTTGTAAGATCAATGTAGATTGACTCTTGAGGGGCAAGTTTCAAAGTCTAAGCAAAGCTGAAATTTAGATACATACCCTCATCAAGGCCTTACCTCCCTATTCAGTTTCTTGATAGTTTGAACAAAGCACAATCATGGTTTGGATCGTAACCAAATGCAAGTAATCGACCAGAGCAGCACAGCGAGCAGAAAAGATCCTTAAGCATGAATTGAAAGTCAGCTAGAAAGGAATCAAAGGATTAAAAACAGAATGGGCCGCCAGACAGGCAGAGGCAGCATGCTAACTCAACCAGAGGTCTGATGGCAAAATTGCATCGTGCATCGCTTTATATTAAAACTTTCATAAGGTACATCTAAGAGAAAAGAATAAGCATAATGTGAATGCCACATGCCATAGGCCAAAACAGAAATTGAACCAGACGCAGGACAACAGTTCACTTGGATGATCTACAAAATTCAGTATCATGAATTGAATGCAGATCTATGATATGGACACGAAACAAAGACTGTGAAACAGAGATCTTAAGCATGAGAATAGACCATTTACATGTAGACACATAAGAAAAAAATCAATATAAATCACAGGTCAACTCGTTTAAATGGGAAAAGACCATTCCATCTCCTAGAAAGCAAGTCAAGCCTGTAACTGCTATCTCATACGGCTCTGCACAGGAGGAAAGCTGACAAATTGACAAATTAAGTTGGGGTCCAGATGGAAAAGAGCTTCCCCGGGTAAATATATGACCATGACATCGCCCACTGTACTCGAAGCAAAATCAGAACACAAATCCCAAAATCACACAATAATGAGAGCTCACCAACACGGTCATGCTAACTAAATTATATTGTTATGGCTTCAAGTTTACAAGGATACAATCATCAGCGTATGCAACTCCGTAATTGGGTGGACAGCAGTAAGAATCTATGTTTCTCATCCAAAACATGAGTGACTCACTGTAATGTATACTAATTCAATCAAATTGAATAAGCCATTCAAAGAAAGCCTAAGTAAGTCAATCAAGTTTAAGGATCAACTTCCACCAAATGGAAATTAAGTTAAAGCACAGCCTAGATGTTGACAACACTGGCATAGGCTTTGCTTCAAACAAGAAATGCCTTTCAGACCGAACTTCTGCTCCAGGATGGAGTACAAATAAAAATGCTAAAACCAATCACTTTGAAAATAATGAGTCCTCAGCCAATACTACATTTAACTTTTGTATGGAATATAATAGATCTACCTGAGAGAAGGGAACAAATAAAAAGAAAAGCTACTGCAAGGGTCATTGGATAAGGTAACCTTTGTGCATGTACACTTGCATTGAAGATTGTCTCTGAACTCCATTCATTAATAACATATTCACATCTTTTCATGTTCGGGATATATAGTTTAAAAAAATCTACTTGATTAGATCACTTAAAAACAACGCCAATAACCTATGCATGAAAGAGTGTCATTTGTCTCAAGGTATTTCTGCTTTCCGTAATATGCTGGACCACAAAATATTAGTAATCTCAGCTTCAAATATGGCAGAGCAGCCAGAGGCCCAAAGAATTGCTCAAAGTGCATATAACTGATGCTGGAATACAAAACACAGATGTGGTCTTGTCAAAAACAACAAATTTAAGTCAAATTAGGGTACCCAACAGAAAAAGGTACAAATTTAAGTCAAATTAGGGTAGATGTTACTTTCACTGCTTAGTAAAGTCTTATAAAATGACAATATCTGATGTAATCACCTTCAGACGCAAGAACAAACAAGACACAAGGCAATATGACAAGTGATGGCTGCATTGTATAGAAAACACAACTGGCCTTTTGGTCAGCTTAGAACACTAGTTACATCAAAAAATTGGAGCAGAGAACATTTAGCCTACACTAAAATAGGCAAGAAAAGAATAAGAGAAAAAGGGGGGGATACAAAGAACAAAATGTAATAAAAGATCTAGCATTACAGACCTCTACAATTCTGCAACTCTGTATTTTTGTGCTATATCAAAGGGAACAATGATACTATCAGCCATCAACGATAAATTGATCATCTTGGTTATCACCATCAACCCTTGCATCACCATGCACCAAACCATTTACATGGTGAAGATTTTGCATCATCTGATTAAGATAATGGCTACTAGCACCAGTGTGGTCAGAGAGACCAGTTGGATGACCTGTCCACTGTGAAACAATACCAAGCAACTGACTAGTGAGACTCTGTTGTTCGTGAACTAATCGAGTCTGTATCTGGCTCATTTGTGCTCTGTGCTGACTTAGCATGTCATCCATCCTCTTCTCCCATTCCAATCTACTCCTATTCATCCTTTCCTCCCATTGCCTCTCAAACATTAAGTCTTCATCTCGTCTTCTCCTTTCCCGGTCTTCAATTTCCTTTTCCATGGTGTCCCATTCAAGAATCCTCTGTTTCCTCAGCTTCTCCCTAGATATTTCCCTTTCTTCCCTCTCCTTTTCTCTTTCTTGCCATTTCATGTCTCGTTCCTGCTCAATTTCCATGAGAAGGCGTTCTCTCCTCAACCTCTCCCGTTCTCTATCAGCTTCACGCTGCTCAAATTGGGTTTCCATTTCCCTTAGCTGTCCCAATTGGTTTGCCAGAAACCTCCATGCCTTCTTTTCCAACCCTTTTGAGACCTTCCTCTTCTTCCTTGTATCAGAACCAGTAGGCTCAGTGCCTTCATAAACGAATCCATCATCCCCATCCTCTTTTACATGACTATTACTTTTATTCCCTCCATTAAAATTCTCCTCTCCTTCCTCACGCTCATAATGGAACCCCAAACTGATAATCCCATTATCGACCCCATCAAGACCAGGTGCAAAATCATCATCACCCACATGACCCAGATGATCAAACTGAGTCATATCCATCCCATGAACGCCACCATCAAAACCCCCATCATTATCATTACAATCTCCGACAATCGCTAATGAATCGCAACTATTGTGTACAACTGACACGTCACCAAAAACCTCCTTATAGCTAAGAAAATTCGACCAATACGTCAGCCCCTCCATCCAATCAAACTCATCCCCGCAACCCGAATCGCCAACAGATTCCATTTTCTTAATCTTCTGCTTAACCAAAGCATACTGATGCCTCATATTCTGCACTTTTACTGACACATCTTTCCAAGTCCACTGCCAAGGGTATGTAACGGGGTCCCTAGCATGGTGTACAGAATTAACATACAAGGCAATAGGCTTAAATTTTTTCTCCCTAGTTTTCATTTTAGCTAAAGTTCCATCACAGACCATCTCACCATACTTATCTATTAAAGTCCTCTCTTCTGCCTCAGTCCATTTCTTTCTTCTAGAAGTTGGTGGTGCCATCATTGAAAAATAACCCAAAGCCTCTAATACTCATTCAACAGCCAAAAATTTCTTACAAACACCATAAAGATAAAAATTTTCACAAAACCCACATCAGAAATCTTGCAAAGTACAAAAATTTCCCATCAATTATAGCTACACATGTATACAAGAAAAACAGGAATCAACCAAGAACTGACCTTTAGAGCAAGAAACTCTCGAAGAAGACTTCAAAGGGTATCCAAGGTTTGCATTAGAGAACAATTTTGGGGTGAAAATTTGGGGTTTGAAAGGAAGGAAAGTTGGGGAATTGGGAAAGGAAGGTGGAGTGGAGTTAGGGACTTGAAATGGGATTTGAGTGATTGTCCGAGGCAAAGATGGAATAGCGACTTTTGTGTTCGAAAGTGGTTTTGAGTACTTCCGGTCGGTATGCACAGTCTACTGTCATTTACTCATTGGGAGGATTTCTTGGATCCCCGAAATATAGAAATGATAATAGGTGTCGATTACTAATTATTATTATTATTATTATTGCAAAAGATCCCACCCTAAAAAAAAAATTAGGAAAAAAATAAGACCCTTTGATTCTGCAACATCCAAAATTTTGATGTTAAAGCATATTTTTGGATATTACCTTTGCACGAGTCAAGACCTTATGAATAAGGGTGATCACGATTTAGGTTTGAATTAATTTTGATTCGACGATTTGTTGAACTAAAATTGGAATCAAATTTTAGAAACTAGAACTATAACCCTAACTAGAGGTTCAGATTCGGAGGTTTATCCAAATTTTGAATCAAAATTGGAATCGGCGATTTAGAATCCATTCAAACCATCTAAAAAAATATCTACTAAGTCAGCATCTAATACCAACAGTTCCAATCCAAACTCAACAACTCATTGTCCCATTCTTTTAATAAGTTTATACCCCATGACTAATGTATATCTAAGCTAATCTAATCTAATCAACAATGAGATTTTTTTTTCATGAATTTTGCATCTTTTTTTCCTTCCACATGATAATATAATAAAGTTCTTATTTTTTTTATATCCATTGTCACATTTCTTAAAATCAATGGGAAATGTTATTTGCACTCCTACTTTTGTTAATCACACTTCTATTATCATTTTAATCAAATATTTTTCATTTATTAAATTATATGATAAAATAAATGGTAGGAGTGCAAATAACAAAAAAGGAGTCCAAATTACATTTCCCAAATCAATGTTATAAGAATAAGTGTTTAAACATAACTAAAAGAAATGGAACCATAATCGAAAGAAATCAGAATCGTAATCGGAATAAATCGGACTAGAAGCAAATGTTCAAGAACTGTTACCGACTTACCATAACTATCCTTATAAGAGCCGATTCTGGTTCAAGTTCCACCTTTCAAAAGAATCAAAATCATTAGCTTTTAAATCGAAATCGACGGTTTTGGAGTTGTAAACATGTCTATCTATGGTTGATTGGAAAGGTAATTTAAACAATTAATACAAGAACTATTGTAACATTAAAATATTAACCCTGACAATGTTGCTTATTCAAACTAACTAGAAAGGATTGTATCCACCATGAGTCCACAAATATAAAGAAATTGCTTCATTTAAATAGAATGATTATGATTCATGACCCAAATAAATGGAAAAAAATAAAAAAAAATACATATTCTCTTTCGTATGCTTCTTTTAGTTCTAAGAAGATGTCAAGTTTGGACATACGACGATTAGTTAAAAAAATTCTAACATTATTCTTAATATAAAATATTCAGTAAATTGAGTTAAGCAAGCGAGATAATTTTCGGGTTGAGGAATTTTTGTCCAACAAAAGAGTGAAAAATATAATCTACTATAATATTTTTGTTAAATATATTATAGGAATAATCTACAAAACAATGAATATGATGCATGATTCACGAGATGGACTAATCTACGTACAAGCGCAACTGCACATGGTACAACCACTCGAAAATTAGGCAACCATTTTTTTGAGCTGTAGTCCAGCAGCCATAAGCTTACAACTTCAAATTTCCTAACCTTCTCTATAATTTTTGGTGCGGATGACCAAACACTTAAAAGGACTATAATTCAATTAGACAAAAGAAATTGTACCCCAAAAAAAAAATTGACAAAAGAAAAGCTTATACTTTTTTTTTCTACAACGTTAGCTTTTTGTATTGATTGGCAAAAAATGTACACTTATATGAGCAAAGGCTCAAGAAATGCTATACAAAAGTGTTAGACACACTGAGAATTGATCAATTCCTCATCTTGAAATATACCTAAAGCATAATCACTAATCACTTCACATCTAGAGTCTAAGCTCCTATCTAAACAAAAGGCGCATTTCTGAAATAAGGACCTGAGGTCATTAATATCCTCTATCAAAGTAGCCATTTTGATGTCCTTAACCACCATTTCCGTTATCATCTTCAGTAGCTGGGAGCTAGGGATGTGGACTATAATTTCCTTCCATTGCTGTTGTCTAGCCTTTATGATGGCCATTTGCACAGCTTCTGCAGTAGACTGCATTTGATTCGCTGTTTTCCTATCAATAAGTGCCCAGGCAGCCACCAACTGATTGTTGAAATTAGATGCGATAAATCCCATGCCCACTCTATTGGATTGTTCTTGCACTTTAGTTGATATTTTGATTTGAATTTCACTCCTTCCTGCCTCCTCTGAATGTACTTCCTCTTCAGCGTTTTCTGCATCCTCCAAGATCATTTTTTGCTTGCTCTAGTCAGCTGCTTGTTCTTGCCATTCCTGTTGAGACTTTTGGATTGTTTTCCAAGGGTGCCTTTGTTTGGCATTGAACTTCCATTCATTTCTCCTTTTCTAGAGTTGCCAGAGGATGTTCACAGTGAGCTCTATATGTTCCCTTCCATCTGTCTTGCTTGTAGCTTCCAGAATAGCAGTCCACCAAGCTTGAAAATTCCCTATTTGTTCCTTTAATCCATCCCATTGTAATGGAGCCATTTTCCACACCTCTTGCGCTTTGTTGCATTGGAAAAATATGTGTTCAGTTGCCTCTTCCTGTTCTCCACAACCATCACAGATTGGATCACCCTTTTGTGTTCTTTTACACACCAGGCCGTTAACTGGTAGCAGACCATGTAGGCACTTCCAAATGAAATATTTTATCTTGCTCTCAACGTTCAGTCTCCACGTCCACTTCCATTGCTTTTCATAGAAACTTGCTATACTAGTTTCTGCCTCATTCTCTTTTGTTCCCTTTTGTTGAGTTGTTCCTCTGGATAGTGCCTTGTATCCCAAGTTGATAGTGTATATACCATTGCCACTATGTACCCAATAATTGCTATCATCCTTTCCTGAGATACTAATAGGAATCTCCAGAATTTTCTCTGCATCCTTCCGGTTAAAGGCCCTAAATATTAGTGGTATTCTCCATCTATAGCCACTGATTAGCTCCTCAACTCTTTTGATGTTGCAATTCAGAGGCATCAGTGAGGTGACTCTGCCATCCTTATTTCCCGGAATTCAGTTGTCCTTCCAAATGTTGGTTGCCTTGCCATTGCCTATGTTCTTTCTAGTTCCATTTTGCACAAAATCTCTAACATTCATCAGGCTTTGCCAAATCCACGAAGCACACTTAGGGACTTTGCACTTAAAGATTGAGTCCTTATGGTAGTACTTTGCTCTCAAGACCTTACTAACTAATAGGTTTGGTTTGGAAATCAATCTCCATATCTGTTTAGCTAGCAAGGCTTTGTTAAAGTTCTGTAGGACCTTGAATCCCAATCCTCTCTCTTGTTTCTCCTTAGTCAATCTCCCTCATGAGCACCAATGCATCTTATTTCTCCCTTCAGCTTCACCCTACCAGTAGTTAGCAAACATGGAAGACACTTCTTTACAAAGTTTGTTTGGCAGCTTAAAGCAGGACATTGTATAGACTGGCATTGCTATGGACACTGTCTTCAATAATACTTCCTTCCCACATTGGCTAAGCAACTTGTTCTTCCAGCTATTCATTCTCCTGCTGATACTGTCCTTAATGTAGCCAAAAACTTGTTGTTTAGATCTTGTTATCACCATAGGGAGCCCCAGCCCCAGATATCTCCCTTGTGTAGCAACCTAAATTGTGCCTATACTTTGCTTCACTTCCCTTTTCCTTTGATGATTCACATTACTACTGAAGAACATTGAGGATTTTTCCAGATTTATAGATTGACCAGACCCCTTCTTATACTTTCTCAGAATTTGAATGAGTTCGCTGGCTTCCTCTCTGTCAGCTTTATAGAAAATTAAAGAATCGTCAGCAAAAAATAAGTGAGTCATACTTGGGCCATTCCTGCTTATCTTCATCCCAGAAATCCTTTTATTACCTTCAGCCTGCTTCAATAAATTGGAAAAGCCTTCTAAACATAAAAGGAAATGATAAGGTCATAGTGGATCACCTTATCTGATTCCTCTTTCTGGAATTACAAACTCTTTTGGCCCTCCATTAATATTAAACGAGTATGTGACTGAGGCAAGACAGCTCCAAATCCATTGCCTCCAGACCGTACAGAAGCCCATCTTAGCCATCATGGAATCAAGGAATTTCCATTCCACTCTGTCGTAGGCCTTGGACATGTCATGTTTCACAGCCATAAAACTATTCTGTCCTTGTCTTTTATTTTTCATGTGATGCAAATATTCATGACACAGAATGACATTGTCAAGGATTTGCCTGCCTGGGATAAAAGCTGCTTGATTTTTGCTAATGCAATAGCTTAAAACTTTCTTGAGTCTATTGGGCAATATTTTTGAAATCACTTTATAAACTACATTACAAAGGCTAATTGGCCTATAGCTCTTCAAATTAGTTGGATTCTGTGTTTTGGGAATAACAGAAATGACAGTATGATTCCAAGATTTAGGCATATTGCTTGATTGGAAAAAATGCCTAATGGCAGCAATTAAATCTGATTTAACAACATGCCAAAATTTTTGAAAGAACAAAGGAGTCATACCATCTTGACCTGGAGCCTTATTTGGGTTCATAGAAAAAAGAGCTATTTTAATTTCCAATTCATCAACTTCTTTAGTAAGCTTATCATTCATCTCAGTAGTGATAGTTGGAGATAGACCACTTAGAATCTCTCCTAGACCCTCACTGCCAGAACTAGAGAACATAACTCTATAATAGTCTGCTACTTCTTTCTCCAGCTCCTCCTCACTTTTTGTGCACGTTCCATCTTCTCTTTGAGTGTTAAGCATTCTGTTTTTCCTTCTTCTTCCCTTCACACAAGCATGGAAGAATTTTGTGTTCTTATCCCCTTCTCTCAACCAATCAATCCTTGCTTTCTGAGACCAATACTGCTCTTCTTCAAAGTAAGTCTTTTTCAACTGATGCATTAGTTCAGCCATCTTATCCTTATTTCCTGAATCCCTAGAACCTTTGATTTCCTTAATCTGTTGCTTCACTTGGTTGATTCTTAGCAAAGTGTTTCCTGTGAAACTGTTTTTCCATTTGAGTAAAGCCACTCTGCAATTAGCAACCTGTCTAGTAATTCTATACATCCTATTTCCTTCAACTGTTTGTTTCCAAGCTTGCTCCACCACTTGATTTATTTCTTCCCTTTTGAGCCATCTCTTATTAAAGAAGAATCTGGATCTTCTTTTCTCTATTGTAGGCCAGTTATCTATGAGCAACATGCTATGATTTGATCCGAGAGTCTCCACATGTTCACATTTAGCCTTGTTGAAATTTTGATACTAATTTATGGTGCTCAATCCTCTATCCCAGTCTTTGCCTTATCTCCCCCTCATCTTTCCAGTTGTTGCTCCAAGTCCAGGGGTTACCATTGAATCCTAGATCTACCAGACTGTTACTTTCAATAAAACTGTTAAAGTCCTTGAAGCTCCTATTTTTTCTTGCTCTTCCACTCCATTTCTTTTCATTAGAGAGTATGTCATTGAAGTCTCTTGCTAACAGCCATTTATCACCCCACAACTGCTTTCTCTTGGGAAGCACATTCCACTGTTGTCTCCTAATATTAGCATCACAGCTCATGTAAACTCCAACGAACTACCATTCTTTTTTATTGTCAGGGTCAAGCACCAGAGCCTCTATTGTGAGGGCTATTGTAACAACTTGCTTAACCTTCACGTCATTATTCCAAAATAAAGCCATGCCTTCCTTTATGTCCATAGCTTCCACAATCACACTTTCCTCAAACCTGAAAATTTTTTGAACCTTTTTTATGTAATTGAACCTGTTTTTGGTTTCACTCAGGAATATCATATTTAGGGAGAGGAGGTTATTAGCCTCCCTTAACTGGGGAACTATCAAGGGGCTCCATGCTCCTTGACAGTTCCACACCAAAACCTTTATTGTAACTTGAGGGGCCAGTTGAGGTTGGCCCCTTCACCCTCCTGTTCCTCTCTCAGATTCCCTCCCCCAACTGCCATTTTGTTTCTCTTGGGGACCATCTCATTTACATGCACTTCCACCATATCCTCATCCACCAAGTTAATTTTTCTTTTTCCTTGTTGATGAGTCAGAATCTTGATCCCACTATGTTCTCTCATTGGCTACCTAGAGATTTTGGGAGATCTCAGTTGTTTCTTCATTTTGCTGTTGTATTTTTGAGCAGCCTTTGTACCCAATTCGGAACTACCTGGATCAATTTGCATTAAAGCTATTTCAGGACTACCAGAACTTTCCTCCACTACTGTTACTTGCATCAGCTCACAAGCTATTTGCTCAAGTCCTTTCCTGTCCAAATCATCTTGAATCTTCCAGTTTGTTTCTTTATCCTCTGAGACACTTATCACTCCTCCTTCTAACTCGCAGTTATCTTTCCCCCCACTGAGTGTCCCAGTAGCTTCTGTGGTATTTTTTTCCCCTTTGACTATTACTACTAAAAGGAGTTGATCTTTGCATTTTCAATTCATTGGTACTCACCTCACAACTTCGTTTCTGAGCCGCATAATCTCCTCTCTCTTTAGACCTCTCCTTATCTGTCTGTCTCTCTTCATTAACCTGTCTAAGATTTTCCTATTCCCCAGTCATCGAGTCCTTATGGCTGTGTTCCACATTCTCCTTAGCCTTTGGGTTTAACAATACCATCTCCCTATCTTTAAAGCCCCAATAGTTCTTCTCAGAGTTGTACTTGTTCTGATGCTCCTTTTGTGGAGAGAGTTTCCCTATATTGGCTCTTATCCACTGTCCATACTGATGTTCCTGCTTCCCTCTGTTTATCTGTATTATTGCCTTGTTGGACTTCTCTCCATGACCAGCTATTTCACACTTGTAACAGAAGTTTGAACACCTTTCATATTTGAAGTTCAACCATTTCAAAGCTCCATTAACTTTAACTGTCATTCCCTGAGTAGAGGTAGGGAGGTATCCAATACCATTAGAAGCTTTAAATATCTACCTTCTTTTCCTTCTACTTGAGGCACCAATACGTCCTTTACCTCCTGAAAAATTGCACCTATTTTTCTCCCCGCTTCTTTGGTTATCCAGTGCACAGGTAAGTTTCAGACTTGAACCCAGAGAGGTGCCAGATCAAAAGCAGAAGTATCATCTTCTATTCCTTCGACCCAATGTTTCATCACCAAAATGGTTGTCCATGACCTAGGGACCACCTCCTACTATCGTGTCTCTGTCCTCCTATTTGGAACATAAAACTGAAACATATTTGGGCCAATTCTATGATCCTTAAATTCCTCGGTAACCCCAAGCTGTGGTCACGAAGCTCCTAACTCCGACAAAGTTGGCCACTTTCTCACCTACGATTCTCCCCACTAAACTCAACTGACATTCTTGAATCCCTATAGCTATCTCTTCACCACCCAGGTCAGTTCCTTCAAGTTCTTTATCTGAAAGAGCGTACTTTCTTGTCGCATCCGCTAGTTCCTCCGCCATGGGTTCTATACAAATACTAACGCTATCTCCTACTCTCCCTACTGAGACCAAGACAAGTAAACCAAGGAGCCGAACAACAGAAGAGAGAGCTACCTAGGCAGACTAGGACGATCACAGAGCAGACAAAAACCCTTCCCCTTTGTCTGAGAGTTAGTCTCAAATCCCCTTTTTTGCTATTTTTTTGTATAAGCTTAAAATTTATGTATCTTCCTTATGAAAAGAGAGAGAAATACTGAAAAAAGAAGCCCCAAACCTTGAACAGAAATGAAAAACACAAGATAGGACAGTGGATTTAATGGCTATGAAGATACCTGCCAGCACACTTACTACTACTATGGAGTCTGTTTCCTTTGTCCAGATGAGCCAAGATCACTTTGCATGCAGACAGATTCCGACAATGTTGCTAAAACAGAGGTGTGAGCTATCCCCACTGAATGAGGAACTCGATTCTCTCAAAGTTCTAAACTTTTGGTTGGTTAACTCATCCCAGTTCGATCTTCTTTAATTTGATCAAGCATTAAAGGTTCTGGGTGATATCTAAATCTAGGGAATGTGTGTGAGTGTTTGCGGAAATTTTGGAAAATTTTGAGAAAGTTTGAAACTCTCAAGGTTGAGAGACTAGCACTCTTACCAAGAGAGAGAAACTCTCACTTTGGAGAGACTGTCCTATGAGTTTATGTTTATACGCTTTAGCAAAATCCCACCAATTTCTTGGTTTCAAATCTTTGTGGGATTGAAGAATCAGAATCAGCACAAAGGGTTCCACCTTTCCACCCTTTTGACAGGTTTTTCTTGTTGTATTACTTTTAATCTTCTTTACCACTTTTTGGTTTTTTGGATTTTGGGATTTCAACCCAACATATACTTGTTTTCTTTTTTATTTTACTTCATTACAATTGGTCAAGATATTGTTAAGTTTCAAATATTGTTAGTACTAAATTAGCGTCTCTTTTTGTTTTCCTTTGAAGCAGCATAGCTGAAAATCCAGTTTAACCATGGAGCGCAGATTTCAGTCCATATCAAAATCATGGAGGGCAAAAATTGACAACCCAAAACAGTCGGAATTTAGCTGGAGTTCGCATTCTAATGGAGGGCTTCACTATGGCTAGTACAAACTCTAATGTACAAATGTTCATTGATCTTTAGCTTTGGTTCTGATGTTGTTTGCGATGAAAAAGAAGGCGAAAAAAATCAACCTTTCTTTTGAAGTTACACATTGTGCTGTTACGAGCTTGGTGATTGTTATGGATGTCAAATGTTAGGATCATTTAATGGCCTAGTTTATAGTGGTTTATTCTAGCAAACTTCACCATTTGCTGTGTTGTTTTTGAATTATGTAACTCGAAAGAAAAGGGATTTACAAGGTTTTGTGGAGTTCTTGAGTCTAGGAACCTAGATATGAATATGGTTTTTGGTGCAATGAAAAGTCTACTATTGACTATAAATTGGTAGTTTTGGCTCAAATAGCGTCAGCAGACATCCTATTATGTCATGGTTTATAGCCTAAAATGGGATTCTGGAAGGAGCCATGGTTGTGTTTGTTGATAATGCTTTGATTGGATTATGTGAGATTCGTGTTCTCTGGCTGCATTTGTTGCTGCCTTTTGGTCAATCAACTTTGCTATTTAGTCATGATCTGTCACCTCAAAATCACAATGGTAGCATCTAATGGAGTGGCAAATAAGTTTAAGGAATTTGGATGTTAGTCTTTCTGTAGCTTTCCAGAGTAGGATTGTACATTTTTGTTGTGGATTTGTTGGTGATGAAAAGCATGGAGTTGATGATTCTTCAATCAAGTTTATGTCACAGCTGTCAATGTATTGGCATTATAGCTCTGTAATTCCTGTTTCATAGATTCACATTAACTCTAACTATCTTCTACTATATGACTTGAAGATGAAAAGTACATCATTCTTGTGCTCCAGTGGCACTTTTAAGTATCTTCTACTATATGACTTGAAATGAAAAATACATCATTTTTGTGTTTCAGTGGCACTTTTTAGTCTGGTGACGTGTTTTTTCCAGAAAGCCTTCTTACACCTTTGTGTGCTATTGGCAGAAGGACGAAGCCTTCTTTATGGTGGTGGTTACCGCGGTAGAGGACGGTGAAGAAAAGGAGAAAGAACCGAAAGCAGTACTGGATAAAGAAGGAGAAGAAGTAGTTGCTTTTGTTTATGGTAGTAGTAGCATGCAAAATAATGTTGTGGTAAGTTCAATTGCTTGTCAGTTTTTTCTTTTGAATGTTGTCATAAATGTTATATTTCCATAACCTTCTGTTTTTGAGTGAATTGGGGGATATGATTTTAACTTGCTTCTAAATTAAGTTTAAGAATCTTCTTGTGGCCTAAATATCAGGATTCGAAAGTCATCACTATTAGTTTGGAGAATAATGCCCTTTACCATTGTATTTTGCCAAAGAACTCTTAGCTGAGAGCATTCAGCACCTCAAGAAGTTAACCTTCGTTGCCTATCAAAGGTGATAATAGGCAAGCTTTTGTATGAATAAATGATCAATGAATCTGGAAACTTGAGAAATATTCATATATACTAGTGTGTTACAGAGCATGCCATTAATTTATATTAATGAGTGTGAGATTTAATATTATGGGTTTCAGTACTAATTGATATTAGGAGACAGGTAAGAGGCTTCCAACTATTAGATTTTTGTTGCATGTGTATAAAATAAATTTCTCCAGGTCATAGATGGTTATGTTTTTGCTATTCAAATGATTGTGGAATTTCAAATGTTTAACCAAACTTTAGTGCCACTTAATTAATGGGTTTATTGGATATTTGTTAGTGATACACAAATCTGAAGGGTTCTGAATCGTGAATCACATATGAATACAATCTCAATCATTACTTGTTACGCAAACCAATTCTACTATTTTAGTTAAACTAAGAGGGCTGACCATTTTAAAATTCCTGAATGAAACTTTGGTTGACACCTCTCCTATTAACTCTTGGAGTAAAAGAGACGTCCTAATTTCGGAAGCAACACAAAACTAATAGCTTAAGTTACAGTTGAATTATTACTCATGAATAATTAACAGTCCTTAAAACCTTTGGTTTCACATAGATGAAGGTGTTGGAATGTTTCAATTTTCCAAATTTGTTTCTGCTTGGTTTAGGAACTATTTATTACTTGTATGTCTTCTTTATGGTACAGTAGGATTTGGAATCTTCTGAATTTGGTCTATATATTAAGGAAGAATCACCATACTTGTTGTCCTTCTTGTTGCAAAGCTGAAAACTTCAACCATGTCTGACAATATTCCTAAGAAATTGCCATTTGTTGAGGTGCTCTTAAGGTTACAAGTCTTGACTCTTGGACAATTTTGCATCAACATTATGCTCTTCTCAAAATTATAGGCCACAATTTATCAAACTTCATTACCGTAGAAGAAAAACTTTAGGCTCCTCTGAAGTTGTTAAGATTGTCGCTGGAGCTTGTATCAGGATTCACAAGTTATAACCATCAAAGATTTGCAACGAAAATGCCAAAAATGGTCAAACTCTTTCCTCAGCTCAAGCAATGTCAAGGATGGAAAAGACTTCTGTTTCTCAAAGTGGCTTTATCTACAAGAAAAGAGAGGCAGTGGTGTTTAGTGCTAATCAAGAGCATTTTCTGGATTTACGGAAATGTGAGTACATTCATAATTGGCAACTGTATAAATTATGATTACCTTATGGTACTTTATCTCCTTAGATGGAACTTCCCAAGAGAAGGAAAAGAGAGGGGCAACAAATCTCTGTATATGAAAGACGTAGAAGAAAAATTTGCAACTAGTCAATATAAATGAAAAAATTACTCCATAAAACTTAAAATGTTTAACTATCAATAATAAGACCTATATAAAGAAAAATTTTGAAGACCTTTATAATTATAGGGAAAATAAAAGATATAGTGACTGCTATGTTGGCTGATATTAATTTGAGGAAAAAGAAGAAATATGCGGATTCTTTTCTCTTGTCACAGGAAAGTAATAACTCAAAAGTACTCCTCAAATAATCTAAAATATTTAGTTATTGGATGCCTAACCCCCTTTTTTCAGAGGAATCTTCGTTTAAGCTTTGGAATCAAAGAGCTAGTGAACAATCACACAAAGTGCAAAGTTACACCTTCTGCTGGGTAATATGGAGAATTCTTACACAGATATGGTTCACATGATTCAATGTGAGCTGTAGTTTCATGTGCTTCAAAGTTTACATTTGTACTAGGGAAAAAACGTTTCAACTTTTGGTTAACGTGAATTCAGTGATAAGGTAATACATAGTTTACATGCTTAATTTTATTACTTTGACCAAGCAGAACATTCATAACGTCTTGCAAAACCTCTTGAAAACAGTAGATTATAACTTCAAATGTTTATACTGTTCTAATGGGTGTAAACTTTGATGGACAAGGCACAAACACATACGTCAAATTATTATGGGATGCAAAAGTTTGATGAAGTGTTGAAAAGTTGGTTACTTTTTTTTTTTTTTTGAGTGTTTTGGTATGCAGAAAGTTTGTTATTTTTTACTTGTTTTCATGTTTTGTTTGCTTGAAGTTATATAATTTTACTCCATTTTCCAGCATTTTGTGTCCTGCAAAATTCTGCGTTATAGGTGAATAGTTGGCTATAATGACTACAAATTTACCCATTTTCTCTCAATCTGGATTTTTGATAAATCAACATGGACTAGGCATTGATTTTAACTGTCGTTACCTCTCTTTCCTGCACTTCACTTCCCCATATGGCTTTCTCTCTATTCTAACAGAGCCTTAAAATCCTGGTTGTTAAATATTTTCTATTTGTACTTCATCTGACTTTCCTGCCTAACATGTCCAAAGAGGACTGACACCTCAACAATTGCATAAGCATCTTTTGTTTCATCTAGAAATCCTAGCCATTGATTCCAAACTTGGTCATCTCTGGGCCTTAATTTGTTTTTTATAATTGGAGCTGTGATTGTTTACATGCGTCCCCCCCATGCCAAAAATTTTATAAAACTGACGCACATCAACAATAAATTTAAATACTCTTATTTTAACGGATTAAACTTGTCTTCGACGAGTGTTTAAGTTTTTGAAGCTATCTTATTGTTCGCTCTTCACTGTTATCTCCTATAACTCCCTTTTGTACTTTTCCCTCTGGCCCACCTCCACCTCTATCACTCTCTTCAGCACTTTTCTCCACTGCCCTCATCATAATCTTCCTCTGTTGCTCCCTAGATTCGGTTTCTTTCCTGCAACTGTACTTCCTCACAATGCTTCTCTTTATCCAAACTAAGATTGAGAATTGTCTTTCTTACTCTCTGTTTCGAAGTCCAGAGTGGACCAAGGGCCTTGACAATTGTATAAACAATAACCTTTGTTTTATCTACAAATCCTAGCCATGCATTCCAAACTTGATCACATCTGGACCATTAATTATCTCCTGCAATTGGAGGTCTGACAGTTTATACCTGTCCTCCATGCCAAAAATTCTTATCAATCTGATGCAAGTTGACAATAACTTTTAAGTGCTCTTACTTTAACGGATTAAAACATATGCCTTCAAATAAGTGTTTAAGCATGTGAAAATATCCTTGTCTTCACACTTCACCTGTCATCTCCAACAACCCCCTTTTGTACTTTTCCCTCAACCCCACTGCCACCTTCTTCACTCTTTTGAGCAGCTTTCTCCCCTTCACTTGTCATAATCTACCTTTCTGTTCCTCCCCAAATTGTTTTCTGTCGTGCTTCCTCACAATGCTCTCTCCCAATTCAAACAAAGGCCTAAAACTGTAGCCTCTGAATACTTTCCTTTACCTCAGTGTACTGTACCTCACTTTATTAGCACTTCTGTGTCCAGAGAGGACCAAAAGCCTCAACAATTGCTTAAACAAAATCTTTTCTTTTATCTACAACTTCTAGCTATCCATTCCAAGATTGATCATGTCTGGACCACTTATTGTCTCCTCCAATTGGAGATGTGATTGTTTACGCCCCTCCTCATGCCAAAAATTCTTATAGATCTGATGCAAATCAGTACTAACTTTAAATGCTTTTGCTTTAACGGATGATATCTTATGTGTCCCTCAAGTGTTTGAAGCCAGCATTTGAAACCATCCTTCTGTTCACACCTTTATCTTCAACAACCATCTTTTGTATTTTTTCCTCAATCCCATCTCCACCTCCTTTATTTACTAAAGCAGTTTTCTCCCTCGCCCAATTTTCCTGTCTTCCTCCCTAAATTTGGTTTCTTTGAGTCCCTTTGGAGGCACCTAGCAGAAAATATTTTCAGCATCCCCCCCCCCCAACCATGCCAAAAAAACAGAAAAAAAAAAAAGTCCAAAGCACCAATCAATCTGCCCCATTTCTGTGTTTGAGGATCATTCTGTGATTAAAAGAGCAGAAGTCAGAAACTTCATTCTGGTAAGAATTTTCCTTTTCTTTTCTTATTTTTCTAACCTTATACCAGAAAAAACTGTTACTGCTTTATCTTATATGTAGCTGCCTTCTTGCTTGCTTGTATCACAGTTGAAGTCTGCAACCATGTCTGCATATATTCCTCAGCTCTTCACCGAGGTGCTAATAAGGTTACCCCTGAAAGCTCTTGCACGATTTCAGTGTGTATTGAAATCATGGAAAGCTCAGATTGACAATTTGCAATTCGTCAAGATGCATTATGACAGAACAAAGGAGTCTGACTCGGCTGAAGTTTGTATTCTTGTTGGAGGTTCTAATTATGGCACTCATAAACTCTTCTCCATAAATGTACATGATATTCTTAGCTTTGATCTTGATGAAGTATGTGGAAGAGCTAAAAAAATCAAGATCTCCCATAAACTAAATCATGGTATTTATGAACTTCATGATTTTTATGGATGTCAAATCCTTGGATCATGTAATGGCCTAATATGTCTTGGTTTACTATTTGGAACTGCACCTTTAGCTCTGACCTTTGTGAATCCTTTAACTCGAAAGAAATGGGATTTACCGTGGTTCCCTATACATTACCCTGGAGGAACTAGTCATCATTATGGTTTTGGGTACAACGAAGTTACTGATGACTACATGTTGGTAGTTTTAACTGAAAATCCTTCTATAGAAGTCATGGTTTATAGCTTTAATTCAAATTCTTGGAAGGTTTTGGATTCACCATTTGAGGGTGCGACAACTTTTGATGATCAAGTTAGAGGTGTTTTCATTGGTAAGGCTTTGCATTGGGTTATGAGAGATTGGGATTCCATGGATGTTTTTGTTGTTGCCTTTGATCTCCAAACTGAGCATTCCATGCTATTACCTGAGCACCCTGGTGGTAGCATTCACTGGAATGTATGTTTAGGGAGTTCGGGTGGTTGTCTTTCTGCAGTTTTTATTGGTAGGTATCCAACTTATGTTGTTGATATGTGGGTGATGAGAAAGAATGCAGATGAGGATTCTTGGTTTAAGTATACTTTGAAGCTCCCAATTTGCAGACTGTATACTTCTGTTTTTCCCATTGCCTTGACCAAGGGTTATCACCATCATGTTCTTTTACAAATTATGTTTGATAGTTTCAATGAAGG